GGCATGTGCCCTTAATGGGAATTTAACCAGTGACCTTTCAGTTTGCAGGCCAGTGCACAATCCACTGAGCCACACTATCCAGGACTTGACGTATTAATTTTAAATACTGGACATGTTGGTTTAAGGGCCTCCACTGCACTCTAGCCCTGGCTGCAAATGTTGGGGGCGAGCTAGGAGCTACTTGTTTCTGCTTTGTAATCTAGGCGATCAGATCAGCCCCTTTTTCTTTTCCTTATCAAGTCTGCTAGGTAACCAAGATTAAAATGAAAGACAGAGAGCAGCTCCTTCAAATGAAGTCCATGAGACAAAGGCACTATTTGATCAGGTCAAGATGGACTTCCAGCCTGTCTTCAGGGATGGGGGCCTTGCCATGACAACGAGTTTAACTGGTTTAGAAACAATGGGAAGACTTGGAATCTGACCCCTCTGTGTAAAAACGTGGGTGGAGGGAAAGCTCTACACAGCTGAGCAAGCCTTTTTCAAGGTCATTTTCCTCCATGAACACAGGTTACAAGATAGCCTCTCTACGAACTGAAAGGCTGTTCCAGGCCACACAGCTCTTCCATTCACACCAGTGTGTGCCTGTGACTTCAAGAATGCTACAGTGCTAAGTACTGTCCCAGAACTGTGCCAGGTACCAGCGTGTGCTGGGTGCCTACTGACTGCCCTCTGGAGCTCACGGTAGGCTGCACTTCCCAGCATGCCTTGCAGTGAGGAAGGTCTAAGTTCTGGCTGACCGCAGTGGTGACAGACACCAGTACTTCTAGAACTGGCACCTAAAGTCTTCCACAATCCTTGAACTCTCTCTTTTCATGTGCTTGATATGAGCACAAGGTCAGCTAGAGGACTCTGAGCCCTAGAGTATCACTGGGTTGAGCAGAGAAATGAACTTCTGCCATATCCCAGTGCTGCCTCTTACCCAGGATTTGATCTCATACCCATGACATGGCAACAAGTCTCTGCTCAAATGTCATTTACCACATACAGAAAAGGGTCCCTCTGGCTACTGTGCTCAGAGGTGGGAGGGAAACAAGCTGGGAGGAGGCGGCTGAAGTATTGGGCTGGCCAAAAAGTTTGTTTAGTTTTTGCCATAGGATGGTTCTAGTAGTGCTTAGTTGTCTTTAAATTCATTTGAAACAATTTCATTAGATTGTATTGTGACAGCTGTTATATCAGCGTGCATTTAAAAGAAACTTATCAAAATTGGTAAATTTTTGTGTAGTTATTTTAATGTTGAAGATGGAACAGGATATGCAACTTATTTCACGTATTATGTTCTACTATTTCAAGAAAGGTAAATATGCAACTGAAGAGCAAAAAAATATTTGTGCAGTGTATGGAGAAGGTGCTGTGACTGATTGAACATGTCAAAAGTGGTTTGCAAGTTTCTTGGTACTATTGACATTCTGGCCAAATAATTCTTTGCTGCGGGGCTGTCTTATGCATTGGAAGATGTTTAGCAGCACCCCTGGCCTCTACCCACTAGAAGCCAATAGCAGGAGATAGTTGACACACTCAAAATATCCAAATCAATAAAGTTATTGATAAAAATGAAAAAAAGTTTTTTATTTTACAGAAAAAAATCATACAGACTTTTGGGCCCACCCAATAAATTCTAAAATAAGTAAATGCCTTTGTCTGGGTCTCCCCTCCAAGAGACTCTGATTTAATTGGTCTGGGGCAAGGCACAGGGCTCCTGAAAAGCAGCACACCTTATGGTAGACACCAGGTTACTTTGAGCAATTTCCTTAGATTATCTGGCTTCTGTCTGTGCACATTGTGCCTGAAAGTTTTGGCAACATAAGGTGTTCTCCCACTGCAAGTCTAAGTGCCGACTGGAATACTTTTCATCACTAGAATGATTATCTTTGTCAACAAAGTCAGTTCTACCATCGAAGGTGAAGTGCAGATTCTTGGAGACAGACCCTCCTCACTCCTTGACCACATAGTCCACTCAGCATCTGCACACGACCCCCAGCGCAGCGACCTATCCCCATTCCCCACCCAGTTCTCCCCACTTGCCCAGTTCTAGGCGGCCTCCTCAGATGCGTGTGACCACATTGAGAACTAAGCTAAGCATTTTGAAGGTATTCTTGTTATGGCAACACTTCCACCAATGGTGACTATGATGGACAGTGATGGGTAGTGGCAGTGATGGCAGCAAGGGTGGTCCAGAGGATGGATGGCAGCTACTGCTGAGGCAACCACAAACAAGCTGAGGCAATGGCAGCTGCGGCAACAGGTAGTAGCCACTGAAGTGACTGACCACAATGTGGCCACCACTGACATGACCCAGGAAGTGGCAGAGAACTAAAACTCTAGGCTCCAGGCCTCGCTGGTGTAGCTCAGTTGGTTGGAATGTCATCCTATAAACCAAAAAGTACTGGGTTCGATTTCTACTCAGGGTACATGCCTATGGTGCAGGTTCAGGCTCCGGTCAGAGGACTTACAAGGCAAAAGGCAACTGATCAACATTTCTCTAAATGATGTCTCTCACTCCCTTCCCCTCTAAAATTAATAAGCATGTCCTCGAGGGAGGATAAAAAGGAAAAAACAACTCCAGTAGCTTCAACAACTTTGGGTGACTGGTGGGGGTTAGTGTATAAACAGCCTCATCCCTTGAGCGGGAAGAACGTGTTCTCAACTGTCCCCAGAGAATAATCCTGTTACCCACGGGGTACTGCTTGACCACATGACCCTGGGGTACTGCTTCTCTTGCCCTGTGTCACTGCCCACTGCCCTCTAATGCAGACTGGGAGCATCTCTCAAAACCATGGCCCGAGCCTGTTTCTGGGAGAACCCGGGCGGAGACAGTGCACCAGGAACCAAGGATTATGACTGAAACACAGGTTGCACATTCACAAAACTGACGGTGTACCCAGCCATAAAGTTAGCAACATGTTAAAAAAAAAAACTGAAATCACAAAACATGTTCCCATCCCAAACGCAAAAAAGCAAGATGACTAGAAAAATTCCCATGTTTAGAAATTAAGAAATACAATTTTAAACTGAATCTGAGATAAGCGGAAAAAAAGCAAAACAGAAAGCCACACTCCTTGGGAACTGTAAGTGCAGGGGTTAGAAAAGAAAAAGACTGAAAACCAGTACACTAAATATTCGTGTAAAAAACATTCGTGTAAAAAAACATTCGAAAAATTAAATCAGAAATAAAGGTAATAATAAAAAAGAGAATAAAGTTAAAAACAAATGTACAAAGGAAACATTAACAAAGCCCAAAAACAGGTTCTGTGAAAAGGTTAATAAAATTGATAAAGCCCTGTCAAGATTGCTGAAGAAAAAAGGAAGAGGGTGCAGATAACCAACATCAGAAAGGAAAAGAGGCGCTGTCCCAACAAGCCAAGGTGGCCGACCCAGTCTCTGGTCACGGCACATACAGGAAGCAGCCAGGCCCTGGCTGGGCGGCTCAGCTGGTTAGAGCATCACCCTGATGCATTAGTCTTGTGGGTTTAACCCCTGGTCCGGGCACATATAAGAATCAACCAACAAATGTATACATAAATGGAACAACAAATTGATGTTTCTCTCTTCCTCGCTCTCTGAAACAACAAATCAGTATTTCCCCCCTCTCTCTAAAATCATTAAACAAAACTGAAAAGGAAAAGGGGGCTTTCACTAGATTCTATAAACCTTAAAAAAATAATTATGATACTCAAGAAATTTATGGCAATCTGAAAATTCATATCATGTGAAAAACTCTTAGAAATAGCTTACCAACACACAGGAATAGGAACTACTAAGTTTCACAGTAGTTTAAACATGGACAAAAATCCTTTGCAGCTAAATGCCATCAAGAGGTGCCAGCCCCTCCACCCGACCCCCTCGCCTGGGGTGGCCTCAGGACTTGCTTTGACAAACAGTGTGGTGGTTTTAAGGCTTCCATTTTGCGCCCCCAAGGTCACTGCAGAGGGAGCGGATCTAGCCTAGTGGAGGGGATTCTGAAACGTAGTCTCAGTCTCGTTTGTCACCACACTTCTGAGTTACATGGAGCAGAGCGCCCTCAGGAAAACTAAGGTTGGCCGAAACACGCACAGAGACTGGAGGACTAGGTCCACAGCCTGAGGAAGCTGGAGCTAGGCACAGAAGCCACCAGGTCCCCACAGCCCTGCAGGGACCACCAGTAGGACTCCTACCTTAGCTCCTACACCAACTGCAAGCTCTCTTTGTCATGAAGGTCAAACCCCCAGGGCAGACTCCAGCTCATTTCTTCCAAGCCAGGGCACAACCTCAGCTTCCAAATGGCCAGTCTGATGAGCACTGGCCAATCACTTCCAATTTCTGGAAGTCTGGAGTCACCTCCACGGGGAGACTCATCTAAATGGGTGACTCTGGGCATGCTGAGCTCAGCACTCTGGGATCCCTCTCCTGCAGACCTACCCTCTAGGACCTGTGGCAGCCTGTGACCACCAGCTGTGCCCAGGGAACCTGACACCCTGTGGAGACAAGAAGCCCCTGCAGCAGCCGCTGTGCAGGTCCACTTGGCACTGCCTTCTGCGTGTTGAGTGCTGCTCACCAACTCCCTCTGCTCAGGGCTCTTCTAACGGCAGTGGCCACTCGACCACACGGCGCGGGCAGAAGTGCTCGATGGCCGGCACCCACGAAAACAGCCCTCCGTGCGGATGCGGAGCTGCCCCTTGGACAGTAACTGAGGGGTGTACTGCGCAGTCTCCCAGAGGTCCCCAGTGGGACTTAGCTCCAGCTGCCCAATCTATCGCTCCCCTGGCTCTCAACTCAGGAAGGAGATGTGTGTTATTTATGCCCTCTTCAGTAAACACTTGGCAAGTGCTGGCATGGCAGGGAGGAAAGACCTGTCCCCGTGTCCATGCAGCAGGGGACAAGAATGGCTGTAGCAGTTAGCAAGGGAAAGGGGTGACCTTGGCCCTAGAGACTGGCCCTTCCTTGTCACACTTGGTGACAGAGGACTGGTGTTTCTGCCCAGCCAGCTCTCCAGGGCCCACAAGTGTTGAAGGCAGGAATCCAAGCCTGGTGTACACAGTCTTTATTTATTGTGAGTCCTAATGTCCACAGACTAGGTCCACGTTCAAGGCCCTCAGGACAGTAACTGATTACTCTTCAGGGCTGGGGGCATTCAGTGGCCAGTCACCCCTGTCCAGTTTTCATATGGTCCAGAGTCCTCAGGAGGCAGGAAGTGGCTGTGCCTGTGGGAGAAAACCACATCATCACGTGCCAGCCTCTCTTCCTGCCCGGCCCGGGGGCCACCACGGGGAGGCTGCCCTTGCAGAGCCCACGAACACGGGTCACAGTGAACTGTCCGTGGGAGCAGGGAGGGCAGCCTTGCTGCAGGTACTGAACACCTGCCGTGCGCCTGGCACTGCTGCAGGCAGTGGGGACCGAGCGTGGGATGTGACAGGCACGAATCCTTGACTCTAGCGGGAGACTGACAACGAATGAACAAAAACATTTCAACTGACAATATCTACAAAGAAAGCAAAGTCAGGGCAGAGAGGCGAGTGTGGGGGGACAGCAGTGACACTTTAAATTGGTGGCTACACGAACATGAGGTGTTCTAACGGCATGTGTTACGAGATGGGGACATGTTGGTTGCTTGTCCCACGAAGGGAGAAACAACTGGTCCTAGAATGGGAAGGTGAGGTCTTTACTATTCAGATGCTCAAACAACTTCAAAGAAACATCACCAACATATGACTAAGAAACTAGCCTGAACAGTATGTGATCATTACTGAATGTTACCTGAGAAGAATTAAAAGTCCTTCCTGCTAGTAGCTATTGGGGCTTGAATCTTTCACTAATCCCTGCCTCATAAAAACACCTGTCCCCAGGTCCTGGGGACAGGCTTCCGTCCCGCCTTTAGCAAGAACTCCTCTAAAACAGGTGATGGGAGGAGGGCTGTGGTTACAAAGCAGTGCCATGTAAGACCTATGAGGGAGCTCAAGGACTGTGGGACCGCCTCGGGTATGGGCCACTGGGGGAGGTTTTCTGAGAGGTGACATCTAAGCTAGAGTAGGAATCAGCCAGCAGGACTAGGGGGCATCCAAGCAGAAGAAAACAGCTGGATAAAAGTCTGGCAGCAGGACAGACATGGGCTCCAGTAAGTGCCCATTTCCTGGGGCTGGAACACACGGCTTAAGATGGGGGATGAAGGCCCAGAGGCAGCACCGAGTTGAGACCTGCCTGTGGGAAGGTTTTTAAGTACAGCAAAACAGTCAAACTTCCTCGGAACACCTGGGGACCATCACAGCGAATGAATGGTTTGGAAGGAATAAGAGGAGCACAGAGACCCAAGAGAATGCCTCTCTCCTGGGAGCAAGAAGGGAAGACAGGGCTGCAGGGACAGAGATGGGCAGAGAAGAGAGTGTCAGTGGGGCTAGTGAAGAGGTGACCTTTGCCTTTGGAGCTCACAGTCCTGTAACAACTAAATCAGGGTTTCTCAACTTTTTTTCAATATTGCCCGCCCCCCAAGGAGTACTTTTGGACATTTATTTTAAACTGCGCCCATCCATGAAATTCTAATACCATAAACATACTACATCTGCATACTACATCTGTTTATATACCATATACATTATAAGGAAACCTTTGAACTTATCCTAATGCCCTGCCAGGGTCAAACCGCAACCCAGGTATATGCCCTGACAGCAACCGAAACCAACCTTTCGCTGTATGGGACGATGCTCCAACCAACTGAGCCACCCAACCAAGGCTAGCTGTTAGTTCTTAAGTGCTCTCCTGCTCCCTAAAAATTCAGGGAGGCCAGGGGGGCAGTAGGATAGATATCCTGGGAGGCATGCGGCTGGCCTAAAGCAGGGGCAGTGAATGAGGCAAGAAGTGACAGTGTTGTGGATTCTGGATGCACATCAAGGTCTGTGTTGGGAGGGTAGGGCTGAGGGTGACACCAGGTCTTTACCTGCACAGTCGCGGATGGGCTTGGAGGCTGCACCTGCTCAGCGCACTGCAAGAAGCTGCGCATGTGCTCCGCACAGTTGCCCACAGCTGCCTCATTCTGCCGTAGACACTGCTCGAAGGCCTCAAAGGGCTCCGCGCAGGCCTGGCGGATCTGACGGATGACTGGGCTGCAGGGAGGGTACCTCAGGCGTCTAGGTTTCCGCTGTACTGCCTGTTCCACCCTTCCCTCCCCCACTTGCGTGGCCTGCCCCAGATCTGCCCACCTCCAACACCCCTGAAATGTCCCTGGCACTGTCTGCCCCCACGCTCCCACTGCTCACCCAATAACCCCTCCCCCACACTATCCCCAAACTGCCAACCTCGCGATAGCCACCTCTCCACTCTCCAAGCTGCTTACCCCCACACTGCCTGCCTCCCTGCCCTGTCCCACACTCACTGGTTGGAGGTACATCGAGCTATGTTCATCTTGAGGTGGTGACAGTCCCGCTGCCAGGACTCAGGCTTAGCAGCCACACATTGGCCGTATTGGTCCAGTTCCCGGCCGCAGTAGCGGGCAGTGACCTCCAAGGCCGCCTGCCTGTAGGACATGCGGGTAAAGGGTTCTGAGCTGGGTCTGGGTAGGGGTGGAGGGGACTCTGGGGTGAGTCCCCTGGTCTGGTGGGTCCAGGAACAAGGCCCGCGGGTGCCGGTCTGTGGAGCGGGCCGGGGGCTTCAGGGTAGGTGGTGGGAGCCCTTAATCAGGTCTGGTTACTCTAAGGCAGGCTTGGGGTCCTAGCAGAGGGTCCTGTAGCCCAGTCATTTCCTCACGGGACTTTACAAGTGGGACCTGGAAGGGCCTGGGAGCCACAGGTGGATGTCGGAGCCTGGAGTCCAGGTAAAGCTCTTAGAACAGGGGCACTGGAGGCCCTGATGGGACACAGGGTCCTCGGGGCACTATCTAGAAGCGCTGGATGAGGCTGGGGCCCGGATATGTCTGGAGGATCCTATATACAAGTGAGCTCTTGGGACCGGTTCTGGAGGGAACCACAGGGCCAGCGTCTGGAACGAATCTGTGGGCCTGTTGCGGGGCTGTGGGGTCCTGGGCAGATAAGAAAGGCTCAAGCAAAAAGGTGGGGTGACCCGGGGTGGGGTGGTGGAAAGTAACACTTCAAGGCCGGGGTTGGGGTCCTGCGGGCCGCGTGGGTGTAACAGTGAACTTCAAAGTCTTGGGTTCCGATGAGGGGGCGGGGCCTAGACACGTGGTTATTGGGTAAGGGAGCTGAGTCTGGAGGTCAGAGCTCCTAGTAACAGAGGCCAACCCTCCTCCCAGGTCCCGGTCACGGACAAGATGTGCGCAGCAAGCGCGACAGGTACTCCCGCTAGCTACTCACATATCGAGATGCGTGCGGGGGAATCAGTGGGGAAAGAGCGAGAGCCCAGCCTTTTCCGGTGTCAGGTTGTCAGGTAAGCCCTCCGGCCTTTTTTTCCGGTAGCACAGCAGCCCAGCTGCCCTACTTGCTTTCAGCACTAACCCACCCTGGAGGCTCTCTGACTCTACTTCCGCCCAGACCTGCAATGGCAGCTCCCTGCTAATCACTACCGGTCCCAGCCGCAGCAACGGCAGTGCTGCTTGCCCATTGGCCACAGCCTTTTCTTTTCCGGCTTTGCCTCGGTGGCCCCCGGACTCCACCGGAAGTAAATACTGGGCGGCACGGCATTTTTTCCGCAGCAAGGCAACCTGCTGCTCAGCCCTGCGGGTGGCTGTGGTGCATGGACCACAGCCACACACGATCCCAGACACCCGACTGGAGCCTAGCTGCCCACCCCTCCACAACTTGCGTTCTGGCTTGGCGTGAGAGAGGCAAGCACACCACTAATGATTCTCTTTCTCCCTTCCCTTCGAAAAACAAATAAAATCTTAACAAAACCACACACAATGAGACATCACTATACACCTATCAGAACAGCTAAAATAAAGCACAGGAGAACCATCAAGTGCTGGTTAGCATGTCGAAGAAATGATCATTCACTGCTGGTGGGAATGTAAAATGGTTCAGCCACTTTGGAAAACAGTTTGGCAGTTTCTTCCAAAACAACACACCACTATCACATGACCTGGCAATTTCATTCTTAGACATTTGTCCCAGAGAAACAAAAATGTGCGTTCACACAGAAACTGCATGAGTGTTCAGAGCAGCTTTATTTGTAACCACCAAAAACTGGAAACAACCAAAATGTGTTCTAACAGGTAACCGGTGGAACATCACCAAGGAGGACTACCCAGCAGCAAAAAGGAATGAATATGTACTACACAACGGGCTTCAGTGCAGCTCAAGGCAATCAGGTGGAGAGGAAGGCCAATCTCAAAAAGGCACAACTATGATTCTATTTATATAATATTCTTGAACTAAAACTAGACATGAGAGAGAGATTCTTGGTTGCCAGGGATTAAAGGTGGATTTGCAGTGGGGACGGCTGTAAGCGAAGAGCACAAGGCAGAGCCCGTGGAGACAGAGCACCTCTGCCTTGACCACGGTGGTCACATCCAACTGCACTAAAGTGAGCAGAACTATACACACACGCGCAAATGAGTGCGTGTGAAACTGGTGAAAAGGGGCCAAGTTCTGTAAATTGTCTCAGTGTCAGTCTCACAGTTGTGACTATAATTTAAAACAAAAGCTAGAGTGCGGGCCTGTGAACCGGAGGATCGTGGTTCAATTTCCAGTCAGGGCACATGCCTGGGTTGCAGGCCATTTCCCAGCAGGAGAGCAGGAGAACCAACCACGCATTGATATCTCTCCCTCCTTCCCTTCCTCTCTAAAGATAAATTTAAAGAATAAATACGTTAAATAAAAGCTAGAAAAATTTTTTTTTGTTTTTGCCATTTTTGGTGCTGCTAAAAAAAATCTGAAGAAAATTGAACAGATTTCAGCTGAGGGATTGTAAGGCAGACTGGAATGGGGTGAAAAAACCTAGTTGGGATTCTACTAACAAAGGGAGGTGTCAGCTAAAACATCAAGGTCTTTTTCTTCATTTTTTTTCAAATTCCATGAAGCAAAACCAGGATATACCTTGAATGGATATTTCTCAGTGTAGTCCTATCTGCCCCATAATTGGTGACAGACACCTATAGCCAGACTCAGAAAATAATCATCCTAGGAAAAGTTTAACTTATGTAACATCTTATACTTAGCCCAAGTATACAAAGCTATCTACTGCCAACACTTTATAACAGCCACGAATGGAACAGCCCAAATAAATACCCATCAACAGAGTACAGAACAATGAAATACAAAGTGATGCACACACAGAAGGGAAAAACAGCCACTGGGTTTTAGAGACATTGTATGAAAAAGTAATGTGAAATATCTCAACATTTTTAATATTTACTACATGCTGAAATGACATTCTGGCTACATTACATTTAATAAAATACAGTATTAATGGTATTTGTTATGGAAACAACCTAAATACCCATCAAGATGTAAATGGATTAAAAAATGTGCTATATGCACACAATGGGTAATTCAGCCTTAAAAAGGTCACAGTGCCACCTGCAGAACTTGGATGAACTTATAGAGAACACTATGCTGAGTGAAACGAGCCAGTCAACCGAAGGATGAAGACTGCATGAACTCGCCTCTGTGAGGTGTCTGAAATAGTCCAACTCGCATAAACAGTAGAACAGGGGTTACGAGTGGCTGGCCAGAGCCAGAGGCGGGGAATTGCTGTTCAGTGGGTAGGAAGCACTGATACAAGGCGCTGTGTAATGATGCCGCACTGGTTCACCTAACAGTTCCTAAAAAGGGCAGATGTCAGGTTTAGTGTTCACAAATAATGAAAGCTAGAAAACATGAAATAATATATAAAAACAAATCAAAAAGAATTCAAAGGGGCACAAGAAGTTTTTGGAGGTGATGTTTATTACCCCAACTGGTGAACTGAATACACAAAAGATGTGCAGTGTTTGGTACAATTACACTTCAATAAAGCTGTTAAAAGATATTTCTACCTTTCCTCTTTAATGTAAAAACACTGGAAAACCACAAAGCCATGCATGGCTTACACCATGTTTGCACTCTCAATCTCTTTGAGGGACAGTGAGTGACAATCACTGCCTGTGAAAGCACCACAGTAAGAAGCTGGGGTTAGAAACTACCCCCCCAGTCGTACATCCCACTTATCGGTGTGGAAATTCTGAACAAATACAATGAAAATCAACCTTATTGTTGTTTATTGGTTATTACCACAAAGACTCAGAACCTTGAATTCTCGGTTGTCAGGTCTTAGCTGAGAGCACTAACAACCCCGACAAAAATTCAGAGTAACACAGCAACATCTTCAGTGAAGTTACATTTTATTTTAATCTGACAGAACCCCTAACCCAAGAGGCCACATCAAATTAAATGACATCCAGTTTGACTTTGATGTTCATAGCTGCCAGTTCAGCTACAAAATACCGAAACACGTAAGGCACAGAAACGGTGTCGATGGTGTCACTGCGATTACACACAGTACAGTTGTATTTTCGGTTTCGCATGGCTGACCACGACGGGGGTGGCTTCTCCAGCAGCGGAGAGAGCAAACTGCCACACTTCACACACACGTGGGCTACTGACCGGTCAGAACAGTTGAAGAGGCGGTCGTGAAGGAGAAAAGAAGTTCCATGAGCTAAGAGAGCATCCCGCTCCATCTCCCCAAAGCGGATCCCACCCTGCACATTCCTCCCTCCAATGGGCTGGTTAGTGACTCTGTCCCTGGCTCCTGTGGTTCTGACCTGGAATTTGTCTGAGACCATGTGGCGTAACCGTTGGTAATAAACCACACCTATGAAAATGTCCGCCTCCAGTTCCAGCCCACTGATGCCACTGTACAGTCTCTCGGTGCCATAGTAGTTGTAGCCAGCAGCCTTTAACATCTCACCGAAGTATTCCAAGGCCGAGTTCTCCTCTGAAAAGATGAAGGGTGTGGCATCGTGACAGAGACCATGCAGAGCTGCAGACTTGCCGGCCATGCTCTCAATTAACATACCAATAGTCATCCGGGAGGGGAACCCGTGAGGGTTGAACAGAATGTCTGGGACCATCCCGCTTTCAGTAAAGGGCATGTCCTCGGCTGGCCACAGTCTGCTCAGGATGCCCTTCTGACCATGACGGCTGGCAAATTTGTCTCCGATGGTTGGATTCCGAGGGATTCTCACTGTGATGCAAACACACTTGAATTTCCCACTGCCGGTGTCATTACTACACACTTTGATGTTGTCCACAATACAGTATTCTTTACTCCTAGGAAAAATGAAAGCATACAAAAGGTCAAACCATCTCTCTAAACTTACACAGGTATGTAAGTTTTATATACAATTAGTGCTTCATAAAGGGCATTCGCAAAACTTTTTCTTAACACTCTTCTCTAATATGAACACAGTTGGTATCCCTAAGAGTATCTAGGAACAGGGCTACTGGTTATGTTCACTACAGAACTCTGTTCCTTGGAACAACTATTATGAAACTGGTATGAAGACCTACTGTTAAAACCCTTTTTAGAGATATAAAATAAGCTAAACAATTATTTATAAACTCAACATTTTAGCTAGGAAACATTCCTAATATGCACGAGAGAGATGGTCAAGCCTGAATAATACACTTGCAAACTAAACCAGAGCTCTCATCAATGACAACCGACCAGGAGCCAAGCAGAGGCGGCACAGCTGACAGCAATTGTGTAAACGCCGATTCACTCATGCCTGCATCAGTAACTGAGCTACCACTCCTATGTCTCTGAAAAGTCTCCTGTTAAAAGATTACTTTCAACCACCTCCAGCAATTTCACTGAGAAATGGCCTCCGGCATTAGCACCAGGCACCGCGACTTACTTGTAGAATGTCACGTAGCTCTCCCCCGTGTTGAGGTTTATGTGGCTGTAGTACGGGTCTCCGTACTGCAGCTGCGCTCCAATAAAGGGCAAGCCGTCCTCATCTAACTTCTGCGCAGTCCGCGGGTCACCAGGTCTGACTCCAAACACCAAACTATCATCTCCTTGTTTAATTTTTTCAGAGAGATCTATGAACTCAGACTTGTAGACACTTCCATGGGCAAAGCCTCGTTCCCAAGAAGCCTTATTCACAATCTGTGAGGTCAAAGAATCAAGGGAGTGAATAAAAATGAGGATTTTCAAAATAAAACTCATCAGAATTATACTTGGTTTAGGTTAACTGGCATTCCATTGAAAAACTAAGCACCTTTTCCCGGGCACCTACCCTAACTACTAAAGCCCAGACGCTTGCTTATTAATGGCCTAAAACCTAATCATACACCAATGCAAAAGGCAGACTATCCAAGACTACTTCGAGTTCACTCAACATCTGCTCACCCACACACTCAAATGCGCATGAAATATGCTTATCTGAACATTCAGGGCATAACCCTCAAGGCTGCCATTTTTAACTCAGACCAGGAATTGACCGCTTAACAGAACACTTGCGTGCCAAATACTAGGAACCCGGGACACAGAAATAGTCCTTCAGTGATCCAACAGTAAAGAAAATAGTAAAATGCTCAAAGAACGGAACTATCCTTGGCAAAACTTACCATGGCGTCTTCCATGTCGTAGCCAGTGTAGGAAATGACAGCAACGATGGCGTTGGTCCCGATGGGGTAGCTGTCCATGTCATAGTGGTCGTACATGCGTGGCCTCACCAAGGGGCTTTGTGGGGTCTGAAGACGATAGAGCTTATTATCCGATCGGTCTTGGTAAGTGAGAAGCGGGAAACCCATCGTTTGCTTTCCTACAAAAGGACAAACACCTTAGCATTTCGTTTCTCCCCCTGATTATAAAGTGATGCATAAAACTGGGAACAAGTAAACATTCACAGGACAGGAATGAACAAATCAGTCATGGCAGTTACATTTACAGTGTTACAGTGTTGCAACATGCAAATGTCACAACCAGACCAGGAAAACAGTGCCGAGAGGGAAAAAGGACAGGAATGTGTTTAATGTGATACCATTTGCACATATTTGTAACACACCCCAGGTAGCAGTGCTACAACCAGTTTATGGCCGTGTGTAATATAATAGAAGGGAGTGGGGATGTATAGGGTACATAAACACTACAGGGTATTACTGGAAAAGGCGTAAAAGGGGACAGTAACTATTATTTAATTACTTTCTTATATACCGGGCAAAATGTGAATATTTGTGAATTCTGGGTTCTGCTGTACAGGGAGTATTAAGACTCTTTGTACCTCTTTATAGTATCAGTTCAACACAAATGATTTTAAAAACTAAAATGAATATGCATGCAGTGAAATTCTTTAAAATATAGGCAAGGAGACTGCCAGCAGTAGAGGATTCCTCCTATACAACCACTTTCGACATGTAATTATAAGACCCAGAAAAAGACAAAACAAAACCAACCACATACACATACGTGCCACCTGAAAGTACTGGACAGTAACCAGAAGCAGCCAGAAACTGGAGAGGAATTTACATTTGGGCAAAAGGAACTACACGGGGTGCATTTCCAGGTCAGCTGTTGATGTTATTGTTACTCTTTGGCCTATCGGCCCAGTCACCTCAGATAGAAAGCCCCGCCCGGTCTGACTGGCTTTGAGAGCCAAGAGACAGAGTTCAGAGCACTACAGCAACTGAAAAGGGGGTGAATTTCAGAAAGGAGAGAACCACGCAGGAAAAGCCTTAGATTCTTTACATGGACTGATCCCAGATCATGGGTAGAGCCCTGCGTGGTGCACGCATGAGACCTTTCCAAGCAGACCCTAAGAGCGACTGCAGCCTCTGTGTTCAGCTAAGTTTTCTACCACGAAATCTAAAATCCCACACTCTTCAAAGGAACATAACAGAATCCATGGTCTTTAAAACACATCACTCATTCACAATGTCCATATGATCCAGTATTATTAACACTAGACATAAAAGACAAAGGAAACCATTTTGAAATTGACCACTCAAAAATAAAAAAAAGCAATGAATGATGACATCCCGAGATGACCCATACACTGGAATTAACAGACAATGACTTTAAAACACCCATTGCTAACTGGATATAAAGGAAAAGATACAAAGATATAAAGGAAAATATGTTCACAATGAAGATGAGAATCTCAGAGAAAATTAAAACCATAAGAAAGAAAGAAATGGAAATTCTGGAAAATGAAATATCTGAAATGGAACAAAAAGTGTGAACATGATGACAGATCAATAAAAATTATTCAATCTGAAGAGAAAGAAAAAGATGAAAAAAGAGAACAGAAACCCAGTGACTCACGGGACATCAAAAGTTTAACATACATGATACATAACTAAAATCTCAGGACAGAGAAAATGGGGCAAAAGCATTCTTTTTAGAAATAATGGCAGAAAAACCTTATAAATTTATTAAGTTTTTAAAAAAACACACTTAAGAAGGCCAGCAAACCCCAAGCAAGACAAACTCAAAGAACGTCTTATGTGGGCACACCATAGTCATTCTGCTATAAACCAAAAATAAAGAGAAAACCTTAAGGACAGAGGAAAAGTAACATTAAATACAGGGAAACAACCTCCAACTACCGACTACTAACTAGAAATGAGAAACCAACAGCAGACAGCTAACCTAGTATTTTCCGTGTGGGGAAAAGCCCTGTCAAATCAGAATTGTATACCCAGTTGCTTCAAGGGAAGAGGAAATAAAGAGTATTTCAAAGAAAGAAAAATTAAGAGAATTTGTAGCGAGCAACCTGCAACTGTAACAAATGTTGAAGGAAGTTTTCAGGCCAAAGGGAAATTACACTCCAGGAAAACGAAACCACGCGTTTGATGCAGTCAGGCAAAGACTGAGTAAGGACTAGCAAACAGTAAGGACTAGCAAACAGCACGGTAACGTCGGAAGGAACGAAGAGTGCCGGAGAGAGGGATGTGGCGGCTTGTAGCCGTCAAAAATGGAATCACGACATCTCAACAAACTCAAGTCGTCGAACATTTTACAAAAACTACCTTTTTCTTCAAAAATGTTAATAACAAGAAAAACAAAGAAAGGCTAAAGTTCTGTTCTAACTCATAGGAGACTAAAGAGACAACACAATTAACTATAAGGTGTAACCTTGGACTAGATGCTACATGGAATGGGCCATAAGCCCATTCTGGTAGACCTGGCCAACATCTGAATAGGGACTATAAAATGGTATGAGAATGGCAATGTGAGATTTCCTGGCTTTAATAATTGCCTGTGGTTATACAAGCGAACATCCTTGTTAGGAAATACACACTGAAATATTTAGGGTAAAGAGGCGCCAGGCCTGCAACTTACCTTCAAACAGAAACAGTACAAATGGGGCAAATTTTAACAAGATGTCAGTAAGGGTTTACAGAGTTCTTTCTACCGGTCTCACAACTTCTCTCTGAGCTTGAAATTATTTCAAAGTTAACACAAGTCCCACGCACTTCTCTTCTGTAAGTGTGCCTGCCATCACGCCCAAGCCACCTTACCCATCTGGCACTGGTACATGTTCCTCGGACTCTGGTTGTGGTCGGAGAAAGGGATGAAGTTGGCGATGACACTCAGCAGGCTGTGAGGGAAGAGCTCTTGGTGGGTGGTCACGCCAGCAGAGACCTCTTCTTCAAAGACAGCGATATTCATGAAGAGCTGGAGAGGAAGGCCGAATGCTCACATTAGCTCTTTCGCTGAGGTCAGCACTCCTAGTGTGGAGAGGAAACTTCCCCACCCAGCACACTGAACATAGAGTGAGCCCCAGGAAGCCCCCAGTCAGCACTACCACATGCCTTACACACTGCATTATAAATCCACTCTGGACCCACTGTGCTGTGAAGGGGGAGTGGAGGAAAAGAAAAATTTTTAAGTGGGACAAAGTGTAGTTTTGCAACAGCAGAGATGTAGGCAAAGGCAGTGAGTGAAACTAAGGAAAGGAACAGTTTAGCCGCAGCACCCGAGGCAGAGCCGGGTGCAAGGAGCTCAGGGAGCTGGGCAGGATGGAAAGGGCAGGCAACACGACACCACCTCTCTCAGGCTCGATGTGTGAGTGGAGGGGGAGCACGTGAAAACTGCTTCCAGTTGGTCCCGGAGGAGGCAGAAGGAAGTTTTTGATTTCTTGCAAATGCCGAATTGTTATTAAACAATAACACTTTACAAAGCAACAGATGAAGTCTGTGGAGTTGTGTGTGACATGACCACACACACCCACCAAACACACAGCCCACACACCTGCTCCATAGTTCCAATCAGCTCTTCTTTGCCCAATTCCAAGTTCTGCACGGGCCGCACCAGCCGACAAGGAGTGGTGAAAAGGAACAGGCCTGGGTACAGACTTGGCTTTCCTGTTATGGGCACAAGGGCCACCTCCATCCAGGGAGGAATTCTTTTTTCTTTCAACACCTGTTTTCAACAAAAAGAGAGTTCAAACCAGAATAAGTGATGCATTTTACATCTATCCCTTGCCACCCGGGAAGCAGGCAGAATGGGGAAGGAGATGAAACACAAAAAGAAGTATCTTAAGAATTTACATCAGGTAACAAACACAGTGCCCTGCCAGCCCCATCCCCTCAGAGAATGCCACACCCCCCCGCCCCCCCCCTACCCACTGGCCAAAGCTCTGCTTACTTAGGGCTCAGCCCCACTATCAGGCAAATGGACGCTGCCTTAAAGACTCAGACCACGGGAAAAAGGTAAACCAAGAATGTGCGTGCAGACATACTAATGGAAATTCTATTGTCTGATGTGTAAAAATACAGTCTGGTTTTATTTTTTAATGTACTGTACTTTTCAAACTATAAGACACACCCTTCCCCCCCAAGTTTGGGAGGAATAATGGTTGTTAATGCTGCTGCTGAGTTCTGTTTACATTTACATTGGTGAAATATTATGTTATTTATGGTACTAAATATTTTACCACATTTTTTGCTTCGAAATTTTTTCCCCTATTTTCCTCCTCTAAAACCTAGGTGCGTCTTATGGTCCACAAAATACAGTATTTAATGAAAGGCCCTTCCACTTAAGAATTAAAAATAAAAGAACCTTCTGTGAGTTAACTCCAGGGCAAAAAAAAAAAAAATTACAGAAATCTGAAAAAAAAATAAGAAAACCTATATATCAGAACAAAGACACTACAATACAATTTAAAAAATGAACATAAGTGAATTAAATTCTTAAAAGTTAAAAAAAAGCATAGGTAAAGAAACTATAATAAAGATAAAGCCTGAAATTATGGGTCTACTTTGCATACCTCTAGGAAACCAAGAAGAAATGCAGAAAATGGAGTCAGGAGAACAAACCTCAACAGAGGTAGAAAGCTCACAGAAAACCCATTTCCACACTAGAAACAAATGTGCCAAAGCAACCCCTCACTGGGATTCTCACAGACCCGCCACTAGGTGGGGCCCAATGTTCCCCGAACTGCTCCAGAGCACTGAAAACTTACGGAACATTCCTTCGTTCTTTTGATAGAGTGGAGTTTAAAAAAATCTTCATAAGTTATTAGTATACAAAACTACTGATATTTCTTAAATAAAGAACACAACATGACAAAGTAGGATTTATTCCAGGAATTTAAGACTCATCATTCACCACTATTATTAGGGAACGAATTAATACACCTAATACGTCTAAGGGAAAAATCTTATAACTTTTCCACAAAGATGCCAAAAAATTAAACACAGGATCTCGGATGAAACAATTCCACTTCTAGATATACACTAAAAAAAAACAAAACGAAAGCAGGGACTCAAACAGAAATCTGCACATGCGCACAGCAGCACAACTCACAACAGCTGAAGGGTAGGGGCAACCCAGGTGTCCGTCAGCGGCAGACAGACACACACAGTACGGGATACCTGGTTGCTAGGAGGTGGGGAGGGCAGTGGGGAGTTAGCGTGGGGAGGGCAGTGGGGAGTTAGCGTGGGACGGGCACAAAATTCCAGTTTTGGACGACGTGAAAGTCTGGAGGATGGACAGGGTGATGGATGTACAACAACATGAATGTACTTAATGTCACTGAACTATATACACTTGAAAATGGTTTAAATGGTAAATTTTATGTATAGTTACAAAAACGAAACACAACCAACCCTACAGAGACTAGGATAGAGAGTCAAAACTGACATAATTAGAGAATCAAAATAAACAATAGTAACAGAATACTCACAAAATAAAACAAGCATCTATACAATCTCTGCAAATGTATACAAATGAACAAATAAATAAACAGAGGAGAAAGGAAAGCTCTCCCTTACAGAATGGCAACAAACAGAACAAATGATGGGGTTAGAAAACAACCATGTGGCAACTGTAACAGCAATAATGAACTCAGCAAAGAATCATCAATGGCATAGTAACAATTCTGCAGAGGACACATCACATCAACTACTGGATGGAAATTTGATGAGGAAAAGAAAAGGGCTTCCAAATTATCTCTCCACAAATTACTGGTAAGAGAAAGCCTGTAATCATACAGTAGATTAACCTAAAAAAGAACAGCCTCAAAGTGATCAAACATTGATATCGCTGGTCATGGAACAAGCTGACATCACAGCCCCCTGACATGGCACCATGAGGAAGTGACACATAACCATGAATTAGGGGACCGTCTATACAACAGGTGCCTGCACTCTTAGGAAAAAAAAAAAGGTCAAGACATGAAAGGCTAAGGAACTGTTCCAGATCGAAGGGGACTGAAGAGACACGACAAGGACAGGCACCACAGGACTCTGCGGCAGTCACAGAGCGGAGGGGAAAGAAGCACCGAAGGCCATGACTGAGACAACTGTGTTAGCTGAGCATCCACCGTGGATTGCACCAACCCGATCTCCCTGAGGTTGGTAAGAGCACGGCGGTTACTGAAGAGGAAAAGTGCTTGTGGTAAAATACACCGCAGTCTTTGTGGGAAAGGGGGACATGTCTGCACACTACCGTCAAAGGTTCAGAAGAAAAAAACGTACATGTTTATAAAGAGCGGAAAAATGATAACAATTGGTGCATCTGAGCATTGGGCATATTGCTCTTTGTGCTGTCCAAACACTTTTTAAGTCTAAAATTATATCAAAGTAAGACAATTAAAAAAACTAAAAACTACCATATCTTGCCATATATAATGCGTGCCCACATTTTGTGTGAATTATACACAAGAATATTTTACCCATGTGCAATGCACATCCTTACTTTCCCCTCAATAATTTGGGCAAAAAAAGTGTACATTATACATTACAAAATATGGGTTAAAACAAAAAACAAAAAAAACAAACAAAACAAAAAACCCTGAAACTTAAATGAAATAAAACAGACCATGAACTGCCAAAGAACAAGTCTTCTAACGGCCGGGACTCGTGTTAGAAGGAAATCCCAAAGAATGTCATTTCTCCTCGATTTTGTAATACATTTTCAAGACCAAGAAGGCAACAGGGTGACTTATATTTCACATATCTTTGACATTACTTGAAATATCAAGTAAAGTTCATGCTTCAGGTCCCCTACATGCCACTAGAATTTACAAAGAAGTTAAAATTTGTTAGGTTAGCAGACAAGGGCCTCAGTGAAACTACCAAAATGACAAACAAAAGTGAACAGGTCCGGTGTGTGTCACTGACCCCAACCTACGAGGTCAGTACCAGGGGCTGGGAGGCACTTTCGGAATCAGCTCCTGACCCCCCAGACTAGTGAGCACTCTAGAATGCCCTGGGGCTACCTCAACAATATACATGGACTGAAGCCTAAGATCAAGGGAGGGAACAATTCACAAAGACTCAAGGTCACCTTAAAATGTCGGAGAGAAGCTGCCACGCTAGGAGCGAGCTCCTGATCCACCCAGCCAACCATGACACCATCCAGCAGGACAGGGTAGCATTCGGCGTGAGGTCGGTGTGGCGCTCCGTCAACGGGAGTGACCCCTGGGGAAGGAACAGACAGGGTCATGACCCCAGGGTGCTGTTTCCAACTTTAGAAACTCCTTCCAGATGGGTCCATGGCTCTACTATCATTTTAGATATCTAGTTATCTTGTTTCTAAACCAGAATGTTTTTCCACTTCTTAAGTAAGGTTCTAAGTCATTTCAGCGAGGCCGCATGACAACTAGTAACTCTGGCCTGTGGGGAGACCAGCAGGGACAGGAGTGCAGGAGGCTTTCTGTGGACACCTTGTATTTCATTTCTGAGCCAGGAAAACATAGTAACTTTTCCCAATAATCAAACTACACTTGACCAAGGTTATTCACATAGTCCATATTGGCGAATTTGCCTACTCGGTAAATTTTATTTGTAACCCCAGTACCAATAACTAATGGCGCTTTGGGGGTCACTCAGTGACCACACTGCACCACCACACACGCCCCCAGCTGCAGCCCAGCGTCTTCCGGTCTCAGCTGACTGTAAACAAGCACCCTCTTGGCAGGCTTCTCAGTGCCACGTGCACGGCGTTCTTGTGCTTCTGCTGGAGGGTTTCACTGTTTAAATGGCCCCAGCACAGAGCCACCCAGCGTGGCTAAGCGCAGGCTGCGTGTGCCCCATGAGAAAAGTATGTGTTAGAGCAGCATATGGTGCTACTGGCTGTGACCTCAAGTTTAGTGAAGCACAATGAACAGACACAGAAAACAAGGCTGTGTATCAACTCATAACAGAAATGTGACCGGAGGCTCGTAGGAGCTGAACCTTTATTGCCCCTGGGAGCAGTGGCTTTTCCCTATATCCAGGGTTAGTTGTGACTTTATAAACAGAAATACCACAGGCATAAGGAAGCAACTGTAATTAAGTAAAAACAGAATACTCTTCCACAATCCATAAACCCCTGCTGAACGCAGCAAGTGTACAAGGTATCACAGGTTACCCACTTGGTTCTGGGCATTTTCCATTGTCTTCTTTCCCAGTACCAGAGCCCTTCCCATTTCTTCTGCATGGGATACATTCTCCACCTGGAGAGGTAGAGAACTCCACATTCTTTCCTCCTTTCTACCCTTTCCTGAACTCTGACAATTTAATCACTGGTAGCAAACAAAATGATTCTTTTCCTTGTAGAGAGAGAACCTGAAAATTACACTGGTTACGACCTTTCAACCTTGAGCAATTGTGAATTACTTCCGCTGGGGATCCCTTCTGAAAGGCCATGGTCTAACTGGCAGTAACACTTTTAAGCGGAAATTTCTTGATTCGTGATCCAATGACTTTCTGGTTGCTAAAAATGTCTTCCACCTGCCCTGGCCGGTGTGACTCAGTAATTGAGTGCCAGCCTGTGAACCAAAGGGTCACAGGCTTGATTCCCAGTCAGGGCACATGCCAAGGCTGTGGGCCCAATTCCTGCACAGAAGAGTAAAAACAACTCCTGCAGAAATTCTCTGCTCAGCCCCTCAGGCAGTGTAACTTCACAACCTTACCCTGTGAAAACACACACACCCGAGACTGTTACCCTGTCACGTACCCAGGTTGCAGAGCAAAGCTGGAATAGAGGCTGTGTACACAAACTGCGTGACGACCTCACACGTGGCAGTTAAGTGGTTCATCAAACCACAGGGCTCCCCATCGGGGGTGTGCACGGGGCAAAGGAAGCCCCAGGACTCCGGCAGCAGCCTGCGCACTGTGGTGGTCCTCATCTTGGCAAAGTCAGCCCCTCTGTGCACACAGCGGAAATGGGAGAGATAGCGGACGAAGTTCAGCTTATCAGCCACAACACAAAGTCCAGAATCTTGCAGGAAGCCAAGGCCTTAATAAAACAAAAGGCATTCAAAAACATGCTAAATTTAACAACAGAAAAGCTTTTCTTAGAGGCTCTGATGAAAAACCTTGGAGCATACCGTAAATCACACAGTGGGTTATTACAAAGTTTACTCATTTAGATGAACAGGAATACTTCAGGGCACATGCCTGGGTTGAAGGCCAGCTCCCAGTGGGGGACACACAAGAGGCAACCACATATTGATATTTCTCCCTCTCTCCTTCCCTTCCCCTCTAAAAATAAGTAAGTTAAAAATCTTTAAAAAAAGACATTGTATTAGTTTCATCTGTTTAAGAATGCAGATTTCTGGGCCCTCGATTGCCACTTTTAAGATTTCCAGGCCGTTCTGATGGAAGCGGTTTAGGGAAGGGCACGAGTCAGACCCCTTCAGGCCACCTGTGCGGGCGACTCTCCTTGGATCATCACAGCTGGACTGAAGCCGCTCGGGCTCCGTCGAAAGCCCTTCAGACTCACACACTTGTCAGAACTTGTAACGTGAAAGCTGACTTTAACAGTTCCCTTATATAAATAGAACCTCTGGCAGGGATAAAAATCTACATTAAGCAAATAATTTGAAAAACAAAACTAAAATGAACAGTAATTTTCCGAAGCCTATCTATTTAGTTTCACCTGTTTTAGAACGCAGATTCCCAGTAGCAAGAAGATATTCAAACGGTTTTGTAAGGTCTGTTCCCAGATTTAAAATCTTCATCAAATTTTCAGTGTTTATAGACATATTGGTCTTCTGAGCCTTCTTGTCTAAACCTATTTTAATAGATACCAACCACGCTTCCATTTTTTCCTGAAATAAAAAAAAATTAAAAGTTTACTTGAAAGGCTATACTAAAACTACCAGTAACAGAAAACTTCTGCCCAGTATCAATTTTCAATCTAATTTTATGTCTAGTGCAGACAGAAACAAAAGTTTTAATCTCTCAGTAAGAATTTAAATAAGAACTTCTGACTAGATAGGGAGCTGGGAGATTTTTAATTTATTCTTCTCCATCTTTCATCCCAGTATGTTATCTCTTGGATTAAATCATTTTAGGGCCAATACTCAAAATATAAAATACCACCGAACCAACTTGTGAAATTGTCTGTGCAGTGCCAACACTCTAACACACACACACACACACACACACACACACACACACACAGCTCTCTTTACAGTAACTACGCTCAGCAATGTTGCTGTGAACGCTGAATTAGCAAGCACTAAGGCACTAAGGCACTAAGGCACTAAGCCAGGGGTGTCAAACTCATTTTCACTGGGGGCCACATCAGCCCTGTGGTTGCCTTCAAAGGTCCAAATGTAATTTCAGCTGCTTAACAGTTAAGGAGTAGTTACATTTACACAGTCCTAAAATTACATTCAGCCCTTTGAAGGCCAACTAGGAGGCTGATGTGGCCCCCAGTGAAAATGAGTTTGACACCCCTGCACAAAGCCATTACTCCTGAGTGCACACAGGATTAGGTTCCTGAAGTCCTCAAGTCACAACATTCTCATCAACTGACCAATACATAAGCTTGTTTCCTGTGTGTTTCTGATGAGAAATGCCTTGCTTTATGTTGCAGATTCACTACCATCGAACTCACAACCTGCAGCAAGAACTCACGACTGAACGAAGTTCATCCAATGCATGAATATTCTCATAAGGCGCGTCCCTGCCTTCCTGTGCTCAGGGACCCCACGCAGCAATTCAGCACTACGCCTGCAGGTTGTTTTAAACAAAATCACCACCAAAAAACACAAAAATATCCCACACAGACTCTTGTTCACAGTACGAAAGCTGAAGCGAGATGGCCAAGCATCACCTCCTGGGCCTCAGGGGGTGCATGGGCACTGAAACACCCCAATCTTACCCTCCATGCAAGTCTGAGGAGGACCACAAATGCTGCGAGCGCTGATGCTGGGCTACAAGTAAATCCCTGTGAGCAGGGGAGTTGGAAGCAGGGTCTCTGCAAAGGAAGGGGACTGTGCACTATATGTACACAGGCCGATTACATTTTATCATCAATGTCATGACCAGGATTTGATGCTGTCTCTACTTGACTCACATAAAAATGTCAGGCATTTCTGAACCCGGAACAAGCTAGGATGTTTGATTAAGTACCTTACTGGTAGATAAACAAAAAATGGGAAAAAGAGATGACATACGTTGCCAGAATGAGAAATTATAGACATGCAGGAAACAACATGACCGGGTGCTGTCCCCTGTCCACAGAGGCACACGGCCCGGCTGAACGTGGCCGGCACACACCCACCTTCAGAAACATGAGGAAGAGCTGTCCGGGTGTGAGCACCTCCTGATTCACTAAACTGTCAGGACTGTCCTCCATGCACTCTCCTTTGGCCAAAGCAAACAGCTTCCGGGTCATGAGACAAAGTACATAAAACTTTTCAGTATTAGATTTCAAGTGGATACAGATGCACTGTCTGTCAAAACAGAAAGAAAAAGCTGAAATGATTCAGAGGCTACTACTACTTGCCGTTCTACTAACCAAGGCCTCCAACTCATGTTTACTTAAAAGTTCTTACTCATATTCAGAAAACCCCTTTTTATCTTTTAGGCAATATCAGCAAAAGAACAGGACACAGTCATAAACAAGGTCTAGAGCTGTGTGGGCCAACATGGTACTGACAAGCCACATGGACAATTCAAGTCTCAATGAATTAAATGGAATAAAATTAAGAATTCAGCTTCCCAGTTGCACTGGCCACTCAAGTGCTCCACATGGCCCGTGGCTGTGGACTGGACCATGTCAATCCAGAGCAGGTCGCCAAAGACAGAGCCCTTGCCTTGGATAATAGAGGGACGGGATGCCTACAACGTTTAAATGATCAGAAAGAAAAACATTTATGTATAGAGAAGTAAAGCCAATGTGAAATGTGTTAATAGTCAGTCAGTATACATGTCCAATGTACTATTTTTGCAGCAATTCTGAAAGGTCGAAGTTATTTCAAAACAAAAGTTAAAAAGTACATTAGAATAAACTGATACTACCACAAAGCCAGAGGAGGTGGAGACAGCCACAGAAACAAAGCTGCTTCGCTGGGCCAGAATTCTACCCGCGGGTCCATTCGGATTCCCAGATGACTCCTCAGCCCCAACTACATCAACACGAAGGACCAGTAGCCCCTCCCTCCCCAGCCACCAAAAACAGTTTAGGTAAAAGCACACATACTTAAACAGATACTCCGCGGCTTGTTCATTCGAACACCAGTCAGGGAGACTGAGTTTTACCCTGAAGCGTTCACCCAGATAGTCAAGGACCTGCTTTTGTGTGGAACAGCCCTCATCCATCACAATCCTTAACATCTGAGAAACCGAGTTCCTAAAGAAAGAGTTGTCTTCTTTCCCTTTAATGAGCTCCTGGAAGATCTGGTAATCGGAAAAGCTGACAAGTGCCTAGAATAGAAAAGAGATTTTCTTTTGAATCACTAATAATAACTAAACCAGCCAATTCATTCGGTAACAAGTGTCTCCTTTTTTTTCAACACCCAAGAAAAATGAGCACTTCACTACACTTAACCTGAAAGGCACTGCTTATAAGATGGGCATCTTGGTGTCCACCTTCGTCCAATAATCCTCGCCTCCTGGAACTCACAAGCTTGCACAGTCTCCTGCCACACCCAATCACAGCCTATGTGACTGAGAGAACATGGCTAAAATGCCAACACTTGACTCTCAAGGCCACGTCACAAGGCCAATGTGGCTTCCCCATCACTTTCCTGGCTAACTCTCTGGGGAAGATGGCTGTCCCCAGCAGCCTATATAGGAAATCCCAGTGGAGAGTAACTGAGACCTCCAGCCAGGAAGGAACCGCCTTGGAAGTGGATTCTTCAGCCCTGGTCAAGCCTTCTACACAACTGCAGCCCATCACAACACTGCACTGCCACCTGGGGACCCGGGTCAGAGCTGCCCATATTCCTGACCAAAGAAACTGGGAGAGAGAAATATTCACTGATGTGTTTTCAACCCCTGAAGTGCATGGCACCATGTCACAGAGCAGAAGGTAGAGCTAGCACAGCAAGAGCTCTGATAAGGAAAACCTGTTCCCTCTTCACAGGACGTGACTTCCAACGACTCTCTTCCTGACAAAAAATATATATTCACTAAGTCACACCTTAAGTGCAAATCCCAAAGGAAGAAAGAACAATTCTTTCTGGTAAATAAAGTTCAACATAACCGTGCCATTTTCCAAGTAGTGAAGGTTCATATTGACAGCAGAGTGCTCTTCCCTCACACAGTGCATTGACACTCCTGTTGGAACAGAGCAAAAAGGCAGAAACTCAGCAACACTGTACCTGCTTCGACTATTTTATTCTGAGCTATCTTTACTTTCTTAGAAATAATTAGAGCCAAATCATTAAGTTTAGCCAAGACCAGCAAACAAAAATACCTCTAAACCTTGCCAAATTTCCCCCGGGGTACAAAATCTCCGTCAGAGGCCAGGCGGCTGCCAACCAGAGACCCCCAGGGGAGTGCCACGGTGCCTGAACCAGAAGACGGGGCCCACACTCACCTCTGGCCAAGTCAGGCCAGCCTTCAGCTTCAGACGCAGGAACATCAATACACGTTATTTCGGTTTGAAAGGTAACAGAACGTAGGTCTGCTATTATGAAATCTTAACATAGAAATGCTTAACACAACAAAAATTTATATACAGGAGTGGGCAAAAGTAGGTTTATAGTTGTGAGTACACAAGACAGAGTATATTCTTATATGATTATTTATTAATTATTGTATTATTTTCCATACAAACAACTGTAAACCTACTTTGGTCCACCCCTGTATATGACAGGAAAATATCAAAGACTCTATTTAGATACATCTCCTTTTAAAAAATTTTATTTTTGTAAAAGATTTTGTTTATTTAGAGAGAGGAGAAGGGAGGAGAAAAGAAAGAAAGAGAAACATCAATGCGAGAGAAACATCAGTTGGTTGTCTCTCATAAGCCCCCAACCAGAGACCTGGCCTGCAACCAAGGCATGTGCCCTGACTGGGAATTGAACCAGCGACCCTTTGCTTTGTGGGATGATGCCCAACCCACTGAGCCACACCAGTCAGGGCACATCTCCTTTAAAAAAAAAGGCGGCGGGGGGGGGGGGGTGTTTAAAAGTTTTCTAAAAGAACATTCTAAAAAATCACTACAACTTACCATACTGAGTATAGCCAGGTCCCCTGGCTTTCCATTTTGGTCTGATCATTGCAATGGGGAAATTTCTCCGAGGCATAATCAACATTCGGATGACCTTTTCAATGCCGTTGACTATAAAATAGCCTCCCATTTCCTACCAAAGAGATGAATTATAATTTGGTGAGCAAATATAACTAACTGTAAACATGAAACTGACCCACTGCAACACCAACTCCACTCCCAGGAAACACAGAGCAACGTGCAGAAAAGGAGGAACATGTAGGGGAAGAGGCCATGGGTCCCTGGGAAACTGTCAGTGTGCAAATTAAGTCTTCTCAAGCACATGAAAAGGTCTAGGAGCCTGGGAGAAAATATGGACGGAAGTCAAGGGACTTTCTCTACCAGACAGGTTCAATCTAACTTGCCTTTCTGTTCCCTAAAATGACTTAAATCTGCAAATGACATTAAACAAACAAATTATTCCAAAGAAAAGTCTAAAAGTGAAAATAGTAACCATTTTCCTTCCAGACAAGTATGGTTTCGTAAATAAGTTTAAAAACTGATGAGCATACGAAAGCCCTGAAAACCAGAAATTCAAATGAACAGAAAAGTACTTTTAATCCCTCCAGTATATATAACATTTCTGTAATAAATAAAGAGCTACTACGAAGCCAGCAGGTCACACTAGGTGCTCTGTGTTATCATAATGTTTAACCTCACAACAACGAGTAAGACAGCTAGTGTGCCCTTTCTTAGGAGAGGAACCAGACAAGGGGAAACTAACTTCCTAAAGTCACCGTACAACTGATAAGCGTAGCAGCTGAGTGTCAAACCCAGATCTGACACCAAAACCTTCTTCCCACCAGATAACAGTCTCTACTGTAGGCAGTCTGCATATACTGGATTACTTCAACACAATACCGCAAAGCCACCTAACGCAACTAAAAAGAAATGCAAAGGAAAGGCATATGAAGCATTTAATATACTCACAGAATCTTATCATCTGTAAAGCAGATATTTTGGACGTTTTGTGATTTAAGATGGCTTTAAAAACAGAAATATGTCTCTAAATATATACCATTCAGAAAAGTAGGGGTTAAAACCGACCAATTCTTCCCCCACAATAACATATCCTCTAACTGCATAGCCAGTTTTTCATACATTGCATCATTGGAACTCATTATGAGTCGTGCACAGGAGGCAGACTAGATATACATGTCCCATTTTACCTGCCCACAGTTGGAGGCAGAGAAAGAAAACTGATTCCCACTGGCAAGCTTCATATCTTCTCACTCCCAGCTTGGGCCCCCTTCTACTGTCACCTGGCCATTCAATGCTCCGAACCCCTGAAATTACCTCTGGTTCCTCATGGTGCTCCATGAGGGCTTTTGGAGATAGGCTATATAAGTTGCAAAGCTTGGACTTCACCATGATGGGAACATAACCAAGAAACTGCTTAATGGTTCCTTTTGAGATTCCATTCACTGCCCAGCTGATATCGGCCTAAATGAAAAAAAAAAAAAATTACTTACAAAAAAAGAAAAGTATCTCAATCTACAAGAACAAATGAACATTTTAAAAGAGAAAGAAGACTACATATTAGATGACCTTATGTTTCAGGTTTAAAAGCCGTGATCTCTTAGACAGTACTAAGAAAGCAGAATTCTGGTTACATCTTAAGGGACAGCAATATTCTCAGACATGTACAGTGTGTGAGTCACACACTGTCACTTGCACTCACCGTCAACCTTCCCCGGTAGGTACTCCTCCGGCCCCGGCATTCTGCAGGATAAATGTTGAGCTCTTTGCAGATGCTCCCTTTGGGGACTGTCGGGGGACTGATGACAGCATCCACAATAGTAAGAGTGATACGCTCATCTTTGAAAGCAAATTCAAATGGAGGTATAGCCTGAAATACAAGTTGCACTATTAATTGCTTGCATATCCAAGGTTCCTTTTCACTAATACCATAAATTTTCTACAAATATTGTTGCCTAAAATGCTACTGTGACACAGCTAAAAAGACAGTTAAAGCTACATCCAGGCTACTCATACCCTCACCATGCACCAAAAAGCATAAGGCATTAACTCAGATTACCATGTGTAAAATTCTTGGGTAGACGCTAAGGATACGCTGACGTACAGAACAAAGCTGTCCTCTGAATCAAGAAGTGCCTTCTCTGTTCTTACCTTGCATCCTCTACATGCATAGCAAGACTGGAAGGACTGCTGCTAACAAAGCAAGGATATGGATGCATCAACTGATTCAATTCCTGACATTCTAATGCCACTCTTTAGGCTGATATTTGTACATTTCATTCTGCGTACTCTCTTACTTAAGCTGGAGCCCTGCAAAAGGAAAGGTGCTACCACGGTGAGTTTTTTTCCTTTCACAGCATCTGCTTTTCTACCCCCTGGGGAAAGCTTTGCTGTTCCACTGAGCTCTCCTACATATTAACTATGAACATTCTATTATGGTTGGGAAGCTCAACCCATACGGGGCACTTACTCTCACAGTATCCACTGTCCTACAAAACACTATGGTTCCCAATTCCATATAAATCCAAGAATCACAAATACATCTTCTGGTCGACTTGAGCTCATGCCTGGGGCTGAGCCTGGCACGATCAGTAAGCACGGCTATTTGGGATTACAGTATACTGTGACCTCTCAGCCAACTCATCTGTCTGGAACCCTGTGCCCCACTCCGCCTCTTGGGTCTCCCCTTCCCGGGTCTCCCACCCGCCGCCCACCTCCAGCTCCTCTGGGCCCTCTCCTCCGCTCGACCTAGAGGCGCCAGAGAGCGCCGAGCTGCTAGGAGCCTGGAGGTGCCGCACTCACCTGCACCGCGTGGCTGAGTCCCTCCTGCACCGCGTAGTTGAAGGACTCCACGTGCGCCTGAGTCAGCTCCTGCAGCGCCGGCTTCTGTTGCTCCCGCGGGACCCCGTAAGAGGGATCCGTCAAATGCTTGAGGCTGGGCCCGCTGGGCAAGCCCCGCCACCGGCCGCCAGGATCCATGCAGTAGTGCACGCCGGCTGCCAGCGAGCCTGCCCAGCGCCGGAAAGAGAAACAGGCTCCAAAGCCTGCTGGAAAACGCAACTCCTCTATTTCCGCCGGATCTTAGCCCGTTCGTTTTATAGGGTCGACTTGGAACCGAAACCGTGGAGTGAAGGGGCCGGTTTGAAACTGTACGGTGACAGAGTGCGTCCCTCCCAACTCAGTATTCCCCTGCGGCTCTCCTTCACCCCATCAGTCAGGGCCCGGGGAGACCAGTCTGCCAAGATCCCCCTTATTCCCCTAGACCGTTTTCCGACTGTTGCTGGCGCGGACCCTGGACAGACCATGGCATCCTGGCTTCGAGGGAAAAGTTGGCTGACTGCTCTGTCTACCCAACTCGAGTTGCAAAGGCTCCTCACAGGAGGGCCGAGAAATGGCCTGCCCTCGCTGCCAGTTCAGCCCCCCTCGTCTTGTAGGCGGAGTCCAGGGGGACTGCGTATGGCAGCGTCCTAGGGGCCTCCCAGCGGACCCAAACCTTTTTGGCACCAGGGAGTGGTTTCACGGAAGACAATTTTTCCACATGGGGTGGGGATGGGGGATGGTTTCAGGATGATTCAAGGGCATTACTTTTATTGTGCACTTTATTTCTACTATTATTACACTGTAATATATAATGAAATAATTATACAACTCACCATAATGCAGAATCAGTGGGAGCCCTGAGCTTGTTTCTCTTTAACTAACTGGTCCCATCTTGGGGTGGGGGAGGATAATTTGTATTTGCAGCCGCTCCCCAGCACTAGCATCCCCGCCTCAGCTCCACCTTGGGTCATCAGGAGTTAGATTCTCATGAGGAGCTGGCAACTGAGATCCCTCCTACCTGCAGTTCACAGTAGGATTCGGCTCCTATGACAATCTTACAGGCTCTGCTGATCTGACAGGAGGCGGAGCTCAGGTGGTAAAACTCGTGAAGGGGAGCAGCTCTAACCACAGATGAAGCTTCGCTCCTTTGGCAGACCCTCACCTCCTGCTGTGCTGCCCCCAGCACCCAGCCAGTCGCCTGGGAGTGGGGACCCCTGCTTAGGTCTGAGTCCTAGGAATCACCATCTCAGAATAGGGACTTAACAGGGAATTTATCAGGCCTGAGGTGTCTCAATTTCGTGTGCATGTGTGTGTGGTAATGGGGTAAAATCAACAGACAATACACCACACACACAAAATTGTACCCATTGATAGGTTTTGACCTGTGTATACACTCGTGACGCCATTGCCACAATTAAGATAAAAAATTAAAACACCACTCCTCAGTGTCCGGCCCCTTTGGAACCTCTCTTTCTAGTCCATTTCATCTACTTCCTGAGATACTGGCCTGTTGTTTGCCTTCTTGTGATATCTTTGTCTGGTTTTGATATCAAGACTATTAATATACAATGACTTGGGAAGTGTTCCCTCCCCTTCCATATTTTGTAAAAGTTTGTGAAGGATTGGTGTTAATTCCTTTTTGAACACCTGGTAGAGTTCACCAGTAAAGCTATCTGGGGCTATTCCATCTGGGAAGATTTTTGATTATTCAGTCTCTCTACTTGTTAGGTTTATTCAGATTTTCTATCTTGTTGAGTCAGTGTCATTAGGTTTGTCTTTCTAGAAAATGTCCCATTTCGTGTTAATTACCAAATTCTTTGGCATACAGTTGTTCATAGAGTTTCTCTACAATATTCTTTATTTGTGTAGTAGTAATGCCCCTCTTTCTTTCCTAATTTTAGTAATTTGATTTCTCTATTATATATATAATATATATATAATATATACACAATATATATATGTATGCAAAGAATTTGGCATACAGAGAGAGAGAGATTTTGGTCAGTCTAGCTAAAGTTTTATCTATTTTGAGGATCTTTCAAAGCATCGACTTTTTTGGTCTCATTGATTTGCTCTATTGTTTTTCTATTCTCTATTTACTTCACTTCCATTGTAATATTTATTATTTTTTCTACTTTTGGTGGATTTACCCTCTTCTTTTTCTAGTTTCTTAAGATGGGAACAAAAATGTAATGACTATTGATTTGAGTTTTTTTAATCCTCACATGAGGCAATGTTTTCTGATGAGAAGGAGGGAGGGTGGGAGGGAGGGAGAGAGAGAAACATTCATGGGAAAGAGAAATATCCATCACTTACCCCCTGTATGCACCCCAATCAGGGATTGAATCTACAACCTAGGTATGTCCCTGACCAGGGATCGAATCTGCAACATTTTGGTGTACAGGATGATGTTCCAACTAACTGACCCAGGGCAATTTGAGGTTTTAAAAATATATATATTTTATTGATTATGCTATTTCAGTTGTCCCATCCACCCTCCCCCTTATTTCCCTCCACCATGAATCCCACCGCCCCGGCACCAGCAATCTGCCCCCTTAGTTCATGTCCATGGGTCATACATATAAGTTCTTTGGCTTCTACATTTCCCATACTCTTTTTAACCTCCCCCTGTCTATTTTGTGCCTAATTTATGGTTCCTATTACCCTTACCTTTTCCCTCATTCTCCCCCCTTCCCCTCCCTGCTGATAACCCTTCGTTTGATCTCCACTTCTGTGATTCTGTTCCTCTTGTAGTTGTTTGCTTAGTTTTTTTTTAGGTTCAGTTGTTGATAATAGTGAGTTTGTTGTCATTCTACTGTTCAAATTCTGATATTTTCTTTTTCTTAGCTAAGTCCCTTTAACATTTCATATAATAAGGGTTTGGTGTTGATGAACTCCTTTAACTTGACCTTATCTCAGAAGCATTTTATCTGCCATTCCATTCTAAATGAAAGCTTTGCTGGATACAGTAATCTTGGATGGAGGTCCTTGCCTTTCATAACTCCAAATATTCCTTTCCAGCTCATTCTTTCCTGTAAGGTTTTGTTGTTGTTGTTGTTGTTGTTGTTGTTAGAAATCAGCTGATAGCATTATGGGAACTCTTTTGTAGGTAACTGTCTCCTTTTCTCTTGCTGCTTTTAAGATTCTGTCCTTATCTTTAACCTTGGGTAATGTAACTATGATGAGACTTGGTGTGTGCTTCCTTAGGTCCAACTTCTTTGGGACTCTCTGAGCTCTCTCAATTTCCTGTAAGTTTGTCTCCTTTGCCAGATTGGGGAAGTTTTCCTTCATTATTTTTTTCAAGTAAGTTTTCAATTTCTTGCTGTTGTTCTTTTCCTTCTGACACCCCTGTGATTCATATGTTGGAATGTTTCAAGTTGTCCTGGAGGCTTATGCTAAGCCTCTCCTCCTTTTTTTTTTGAATTCTCATTTCTTCATTCTGTTCTGGTTGAATGTTTCTTTCTTCTGCTCCAAATGGTTGATTTGGGTACCAGTTTCCTTCCCTTCACTGTTGGGCCCTGTGCACTTTCCTTTATTTCACTTTTTATAACCTCCACTTTTTCTTCTATTTTGTGACCATACTCAGCCAATTCTGTGAGCATCCTGATCATTAGTGTTTTGAACTCTGCATCTAATAGGTTGGCTATCTCTTCATTGCTTCATTGTATTTTTTGTGGAACTTTGATCTGCTCTTTCATTTGGGCCTTTTTTTTGGTCTTGGTGCACCTGTCACATAGTAAGGGATGGAGCCTTAAGTATTCATCTGGGTGGGGCAACCCATGCCACTGTGTTGTGGCTGTGTATGGGTGAGAGGTCTGAGAGGGAACAGTGCTACTTGCTCAGCTCTTGGCTGGCTTTCAGTCACTTCCCCTGCTACCCACCAGCAAATTGGGCCATTCTGGTGTTGATTTCTGGGTGGGTGGGTTTGTGTACATTCTAGAACCCTGTGGGTTTTTCCACTGACCTCTCCTGTGAGGCTGGGAGTTTATCCTTCTGCCACAACACCCACAGGTTTTTTTCAGAAAAGGTTTTGAGGCTTTACTTCCCTTCCACAGAAACCTAGGTTGTGCAGTCTGTCTTGCTCCCCAGTCGCTCCTCCCAGGTTATCATCCCACAAATGTGGGACCACCCAGTCTGCCAGCTACTTCACCCACCCTGGTCCTCTAGCCACTGCCTTACCTCGAGTCCTCTCCAACCCAGCTGCCTGTCTCTACCCCTCCTACTGGTCTGGATGAATGTTTCTTCTTTAACTCCTTTGTTATCGGACTTCCATACAGTTCAATCTTCTGTCAGGTCTGGTTGTTTTTTGTTCTTAAATTTGTTGTTGTTCTTCTTTTGGTTGTGCAAGGAGGCACAGTGTATCTACCTAACCCTCCATCTTGACCAAAAGTCTCATGAGATCTTTTTTTTTTAAGTAGCCATTTAAGGACATAAAATTCCCTTTAGGCACAGCTTTAGCTGCATTTTATAAATTTTGGTATGTTTCTATTTTCATTTATCTCAAATTACTTTCTAATTTCCCTTGTAATTTATTTCTTTGGTCCATGGATTATTTAAAACTGTACTTTTAATTTTCCACATATTTGTGATTTTCCTAAATTTCTCAATGATTTATAATTTATTCAATCGTGGTCAGAGAACAGATATAGTATGATTTCGATAACTTTTAACTTAGTGAGGATTGGAGAATTGAAAGTTTCAACTAACATTGTTGAATTGCCTCTCTTCAATTCTGCCAATTTTTGCTTCATGTATCTTGTGGCTCTGTTGCTAGGTGCATATGTTTATCATTGTTACCTTTTCCTGAAGGATTGATCCTTTTATTATTTAAAAAAATGTCCTTTGTGGCCATAAAAAAGGCAACTGCATGGATGGACCTGGAGAGCATTATGCTAAGTGAAATAAGCCAGTCAGAGTAAGACAAGTACCACATGATTTCACTCACATGTGGAATCTAAAGAACGTAATGAAGTAACAGACAAAATAGTACAGACTCCTAGAGAGCAGGTTGATGGCTGCTGGGGGGTTGGGCTGGGTGGGGTGGTAGTGGAGGGATTTAGCATAAAAGAAAAAGAGAAAAAACTCATAGACATAGGCAAAAGTGTGGTGATTGCCATGGGGAGGAGGGTGGAGGGAAGTGGAGGAAGGTCTGGGGGGGAGAAATGGTGAATCACAAAGACTTGACTTGGGATGGTGAACACACAATACACAGTGCACAGTGGTATAGAACTGTGCACCTGAAACTGGTATAATTTTGTTAACCAGTGTCACCCCAATAAGTTCAATAAAAAGGAAAAAATAAAAATAAAAAATGTCTCTTGCCTGTAGTAACAACTCTGTTCCGCAAAGCCCATTTTGTCTAATATTGGTATGGCCACTGAAGCCCCCTCTGAGTTACTGTTTACACAGCACATCTTCCATCCTTTTACTGTCACCCACATGCATCTTCAGTAGACCGCATAGAGTGGATCATGGTAGTTTTGGTTTTCTTTTTTAATCCATTTCACCATCTGTGCCTTTTCCCCCCTCACCCAAGGACATTCTTCTATTGCTATTTAAAGAGAGATGAAGGGAGGGAGAGTGAGACTTTGATGTGAGAGAGAAACATTGATCAGTTGCCTTCCACAGGTGCTCCAACCCAGATTGAACACACAACCTAGGTATCTGCCCAAACCAAAACTCAAGCCTGTGACCTTTTGGTGTATGTGACAATGCTCCAGTTGAGCCACACTGGCCAGGTTGCCATCTGTGCCTGATTGAAGTTTTGATCAAAGTATTTAATCCATTTACATTTAATGAAACTACTAATAAGGTATGATTTATGTCTGCCATTTTGCTACTTGTTTTCTATTTGCCTTTATCTCCCTATTTCTTCATTACTGCCTTCACTTTTGTTTGGCATTTTCTAGAGTAACATTCTAATTCCCATGCCTTTTCTACTACTATGTATTTAAAGTTATTTCTTAGTGATTAATGTGTATTGCTCTGAATCTGAGCATATCCTATTTAGAGTTTGTTGAATTTCTTGCATGTATTTTTACTGTCTTTCATTGAAATGGGTTTTTGGCCACTATTTCTTCCAATGTTTTCTTCCCCTTTCTTTTCTAGGACCCCTGTTATACAGATGTTGGTTTGCACACATGTCTCTGGGCTCTGGAGCACTGTTCATTCTTATGCTTCTCCTTCCTTCTTTCTTCTTCCACTCCTTCTTCTAGCATTGTTCATTTTCCTCCTCCTCCTCTTTCTTTTTCAGACTGAATAATCTCAACTCAATTCAGATTCACCAATTCCTTCTTTTGCCAGCTCAAACCTGCTTTTGAACACCTCCACTGAATTTTTTATTTGTATCACTGTACTTTTCCTATTTCTGTGCCAAAATTCCTACTTCTTCTACTTAAAACACAACTTCTATCACTTGTTAATGATATTCTACCTTTGATAACACATCACTCTCAGTCTCGTTTGGTTCTTTGAACACAGTTTGCTGAGTGAAGGCGTTTGTGTGATAACTCCAATGCCTGGGCTTCCTCAGGTGCCGTTTTTATTGACTGCCTTTCTCCTCGTGGGCCATACTTTCTTCCTTGCACATCCCATAATTTGTGTTGAAAACTGGAAAATTTTAACAGTATAAGGGGGAAACTTTGGAAACCAGATACCCCCACCTCTCCAGGATCCATTGCCGTAGCTCTAACTAATCCTGTAAAACCTGTATTCTTTGTTGTGTGTGGCCACTGAAGTCTCTGCTCAGCTAACTTAGTGGCTCTTTGCTTTAATAGAGATTTCCTTAAGTGCCTGCAACCAGTAAATCTCCTAGTCTTTGCCAAGGGATTGTGTGTGTGTGCGTAAGTGTGTGTGTGTGCACGCCTGTGTGTGTGGCGTGCCTTCATGCTCAGGAAACAGGTTACGGCTCTGCCTTAGTCTTCGCTTCTTGCTTGTGAAGATCCTCCTGGTCTGACAGAGGTGAAAGCTGAGGGAATTTAGGGTTCCCCTGGGCACACACACAGCCCTCCACATGTGAGTGGCCTTTTGTATTCTTAAACAATATGTCGAAGGTTTTCAAAACCTATGTACATCTCAGATATGGGGAAAATCTGTTGGCTTATGTATTGGATGACATGCTGGGTTCAGCCAGTGTTGGCCACATCTGGCTTATTTCTGTTCGGCTTTTGAGCTAAGAATGTTTTCTATATTTCCTAAGAGTTGGGGGGGGGGAGCAGAAAATGCACCAAAGCCCCTTTATTACTTGCAGAGCCTAGAATATTTATCATCTGGCCCTCTGCAGACAGTTTGCCTTCCTCTGGGTAACGGAATCATGGGTTCAACCAATCAGTGATACCCTAGGACAGCCAACAGCAAGAATAAGACGATAGAGCCAAAGGGGACAAAAGCATTTGAAATACTATTACTTTACTTTAATGCTCCAGGCATTTAAAACATTCATAAAATCATCTCCTTTAAGAAGTCATTTCCTCTTAGGTACAGAGTTTGTGTCCCGGATCAGAGACAAGCGTATCACTGAATTTCCTTTACGGCACCCACGTGCTGCGGCGACCACGCCGGGGCCTCGTCTCCTCTAGCAGAGTCCCCGCCACAGGCACCGCAGGGCTGGACCTTCCCCGCTCGGCACGACCTCAACCGGGAAACACACTTTGTAGCTTCGCTGCCCCTTGAGTTCTGTGGACCCCACGCCTTCCCAGCACTGCCACAGACTCCAGGTCTGTGACGAACATCCAAGGTGCTAGGGAAAAGCCGCGTCGGCCGTGAGTGTGCAGGCACCTGCTCCATCACACCGGAAAGACAGAGGCACTTGGATGTTCTGGTGGAAACTCGGTTCGTAAATAGCACAGGAGTTAAGTGTGAGGAAAGCGTCTTTTCTCTCAATCATTAATTAATAACATTAATGCATATTTATCAGGTTTTATAAATTCCTGTCTGTTTACACTTGTTGCCAAGGCTTCACAAACTGTTTAAGTAGATGGAGGCATGTGTGACAAGAAGCGAAGAGAGAACCTGCTTAGATGGCATGTTTGTAGCATGAATACACATGGCAACGCCTGGTCACTCGGAAAGAAATGCCTGTTCTTCTAAAAGGAATTTTTTAAAGCCCTTGATTCTTCCAAGGAAATAATAATGTGTCTGTCCTTCCTTCTCACAGCGCCGCAAAGCACACTGCTGCCCGAGGTTCTGATTCAATCGTCGTGGGCTCAGGGGCACAGTGTGGACGCCAACACGTAGAAGCTTCCCGGTGGTTCCAGTGCACAGCCAGCTTCGGGAACCTCGGCACTTCAGGTTCTTGAGTCTCCCTAATCTCACTTGTCCTCGCTAAAGCCTGTGAGGTAGTCCTGGGTCAGGCAACGATCTCTTCCATGAGACAAGAAACTAAGGCACAGAGAGGTTACGACTCATCTGACCCTGAGCAGCCAATGACAGAGCCACCACTGGAGAGGACATCTCCAATGAACAACACCTCCTCCCAGCAGCTGGCCACACGAACATGGACACAGGCAAGAAGACCGACTGGGCAGCGAGGCAGGACCATCTGTGCAAGGAGAGCTTGGAAGGGCATGGAAGAGTTCTGAGCTGACCACCCCAATTGGAAATAAACACATAAAATAGATATTTATTGAGAAGATGTAAGGGATGAGGTATCACTTTCTTTTTAGAGCCTCACTTCCTTCACATATATGCTATTGACTCAGGTCTGCTAGCAAAGTCCGTCCAGTCCCAGACTTCCTAACATCTGAATCCTTAGCTTTGTCGCGGGAGCAGCTGGAAAACCCTCCAACATTCCTGTAATTGATTTAGGTCCCAAAGATTACTGCACATCTGTGTTCATGTGGGCGAGTGCTACAAACACCTGCATGCTCTCCCCATTTCCAGCTCACACAGACCTCCTAAAAATCCAGTACCCTACACTCTCTATACCGGTGTGCACCTGGCCACGATCTGCTAAGTCCCCAAACACCAGCCCAGCAGCTACTCTGCCTCCAGAAGTGACTTTAGTCACAGACAGTTTTGCTGTGCTCTGCACAACGTTACAGTCTGCACCCTGGGTCACCAGGACTTCACTTTGTAATTCCAGATCCCCTGCCATGCGGGCAGCCTGGCTGGGCCTTTCTCCACTTCACCGGACATCACACCTTCACAACCTATGCCCACGTGTAAGCTTCCACATCTCATCAGATTTTAGGAACTATTGCTTTTTCTTCTTTTTAAAAACATCTCCCAATTACAGAACTGCTTTTTGTGTGTGTGTGTGCAAGTAGAATGCCTAACGAAGTACCCACGTACAGGAAGCAAGCACGCGCCACGCCCCGAGGGGGGGTGCCTTGCCGATGGGTCTGCTGTGACCCCATCCCTCCCTAAGGAGGGCAGTTCATGCAACCCAGCGAACACCAGTGGATCTCATTCTTCCCACGTGGCCTCGTTGAAAAGTCTGTAGAATACTACTCTTCAATCCAGTAAGTGAAAACCACACCTAACGGGACACATCTGTTGACCTACGAGATGCTGTGTGAAACTCTAAAACCACATCCTTCTTGTTTTGAGACTCTCATTCAGGTGAGGCAGACACTCACTGAGAGCCTCTCCCCGAAACAGACTCCTCGCTGGAACAAAACTTGCCTCTCCACTTCCCACAGAAGGTGCTTGGAGAGAAGCCTGTGTCGGGGACAGTGCCCCCTGCTGGGGAGGGGAGTTCTACCTTCTTCCTCCCTGTAGAGGGGTTTTCACAAAAGTGAAAACCAAAAAAGAGTGAGCAGCAGGGAATTTTGCAAAAGTGCATGAAGAATTCTGGTTAAAACAGATAACAGATCCAACCATATTTCAAGGACACCCAACTATGTAGCAAGACATAATTTTTTCCTCTCATGCTTATTTGATGCTAACGAGTTTGTGGCAAACTTGCTGCTCAGCTTCTAAAACATGCAGAGAGAAGACTGAGAACAGTGTGGGGTATGTTGGCGCCCAGCCTGCACCAACCCTGGCAGGAGACCCACCCAGTGCCATCAGGAACGAGATGGGGACCACGCCCTGCCCTGAGAGGCGGCGTGCAGCACGGAGCCGCGGGCTGCCAGTGCATGCCTGTCCAGATCTCACAGGCAGAGTGTCACGGGGGACCAGCAAGGACATATGGCAAGCTCCCAAATGCTCTAGCATCCCATCCCCGTGCAGACAGAGGTTGCAGCTGGGCACAGAGTTAAGGCACAAAGGCTCCAGCAGATGGAGACACCAAGCAGAGGTCCAGTGGTCCCCAGGAGGAAGAGGCGCGGCCACAACACTGCCTTGGGATGGAAATCCAGCTCTTTGAAGGATAAAAACAGAAAAGGACCAAATCCTGGCATTTCCCCCCTAGAAGAACATTCTTCTCTCCCCTTGGGGGGAAATTTGCTGCACTTTTCAAATCTCAACAGTAGTGCAGAGAGCGCCACCTGAGAGCCCCTTGGGGCGTCACCTTCGCTCTCACGCTCTCTCCTCCACCGCGTCTTTATGAGCGGCCTCTTTCTCATTTTGGCTTCAGGTGGAGCGATCGGACCTCTCTGCTTCCCCCGGAGCAGGACCCGCGCTTCTCCCTGGTCACAGCCTGATGAATGCAGCCGGCTGGCTCTGCTGTGGCTCGGCACTGGGGGGCGGGAAGACGCTCGATATGGCTATGTCCACGATACCCTGGCACAGTTCTGCGTAGAGCTTCCTGAAACGTGTTTAAAAAGATATTATTGAGGAAGTTCATCGAAGTGTAAGCAAAAAACCAAAGTTTTTTCACCAGGATCTTCCACAGAAATTCCATCCCGTGACCACATTTATGCGACTGGCTTCCACCGTCAGCGCAGATAGCACAGGGCCCCCTGGGAAGACCAGGCAGCCCCCTGCCACGTTTCTGGAAGGCCTCGCGGGTGAACAGAGAGAACTCCCGCTCCCACGTGAACTGCAGGGATGATTGGCAATTCCAGTCGACTGCCCTGGCGTCTTCAGTAGGGACACATGGAGGGGCAGGCCTCCCCATGAAAAGCACTCACTCCATGTGGTTGAGGGGACTTTAGGAAAGACTCCCTATGAACGACAGCTAAGCTGAGACCAGGGGAATGAACAAAGTCAGACAGAGAATGGAGGACAGGGCAGAAAAGAGGACGAAGGAGAGCAAAGGCAGACACGAAGACAACAAAGGAGGGGGCAGAGAGATAGTGAGCTGGGGAAGGGGAACAGGGAAGCACAATGTAAGGAGAAGCATGAAGGAGAGAAAGCCAGGTGTTTGGGGAAGTGGGTCGGCGCCAGCTGAGGCTGCAGGCAAGGCACCGGCCTGGCCACGTAGGGCCCTGATGCCATGACCAGGGGTCTGGACTTAGTCCAGACCAATGGAGGCACCAAAGCAAAAAGGCTACGGGGGAAAACTTCCCATCTAGTGCCTTCGGAACAGGAACGAGGCCCTCCATCGCCCACGGCCACTCATCCCTGTAGGGTTTCTGCCTGTTTCCGGGGGCAGCTCATGAGGCCCAAGACCACGAGGCCTGAAACTGCCTGCAGGGCTGATTCTAACGCAGGGTAAAATGAGACATGTGTGGTCCAGAGAGAAAACCCACACCGTCAGGATCATGCTCTGGGCCACCCACCGGACGTGCTCCAGACACGTTTGGAATCCAGGTGGCTGGAGCCAAGGGCAATGCCCAGGCCACCCCTTTCTAGAAAAACAGAGGTTTTATTGTCCTGCATTCCAGCGTCCACCAGGCAGATTGGAAATCTGGTTCCCACCCTCCCAATGTAATGGCAGGTCCCTGTTGTCACCCTCCCCAACACAGGACCTTCTCCCCAACCCCGGCCACTCCCCAGTCCCTTTTTAGTGCCCTAAGGCTGGCGCGTCTATGTTCCAAACCACTCAGCCTCCCACTTATAAGGGACATTGACAGGAGGCCTGTGAGGCAGTGTTGGTGGTGACTAAAACTGGGCTTGGCACATCAACTGCCTCTTCCCTCTCTGTGTGGCCCAGGTCCCCCATGGCTTTCCAGCCACCTCACTGTAAGCCCTGCCCCCTCCCCAAGTCCTGAAGTCCTCCCCTCTCAAAATCATATACCTAAAACCGAATCTATTTAGTTTCTATTATAGGCTGGTAACAACACGATTCATACGGTAATTAACCAGGTAGTGCCTGCCTGTCGCTTCCAGTTGAGGACCTTGAGAACACTCACCTTTATGTGGCTTTCCAGGATGGGACACAGAGAAAGAGATGAAAGTGGATCTCAGAATAATCAGCAGCCTTTAAGGGTCAAGTTCAAACGACTTTCCCTCCGGCGTACGGCCTTCCTCGGCACAGTCCTGGCTCACCTGACCCTTCCCTGCTCCTTACGCCTCCACACTGACACCAGGCTTCCCTGGGAGGAGCAGGAGCTCTCCGAGGGCTGGCAGGTTCTCCGAGGGCACCTCACGGAGCCGGGCAATGAGCAAGGTCCCACTGGACGCTGTGTCCCCTTCCCACGGGCTCCCCCTGGTCCCCTGGTCCCACTCCTCTCACATCCCAGCTCCAGCTCCACTGCATCTCCGATGCCTCTCAGACCACTTCCTGCCCAGGGAGCCCTGCCCTTCTTGGTCATCACGATCTCCCCTACTCCGGGAGCCTGCTCACCCAACTTGTCACCCAAGAGCATGGCCTCTGGCAGTTACTAGCTTTGTTTGAAACTCTCACAGCAACGACCCCACCATGAGTAGTCTGACTGCTGAACACACTCAAGAAAATGGGAAAGGAAAAGCCTCAGCAAAGCCCCCACCAGCGGGTCCTCCCCAGGGACTCCTGTCCAGTCACTGCCTCCCCTGACGGTGGTCAAGGGTCACGCGAGTCCACCACCTTGTTGAGACAAGTCATTCCAACTGCAAAACCAACTGTCCCTTGTTACAACCAAGCAGTGTTCGGCTTACTGAGCACAAGCAGGGGCGCCGTTGACCTCAATGAGCCAGACCTTCAGCTCCTCGTCCACCATGAAGTCGAAGCCAAACAGCTGGAAGCTCTGGTACGGGAGGTGCCGGGTGCTGATGGCAGGCTCCACGCTCATGAGGCAGCTCCTGCGGGGCAGAGGGGAGAGCTAGCTGAGAGCGGGGTGCGAGGGAGGAGGAGCACGGGAGATGGGCCTGGATGGCTGCACGTCCAATGTGCTGGCACAGATCAGCTTCGACTTAACTCTTTCTTTCACAGTTGTTACCAGTAGATTATTCAAGACAATTGTCCTTGTCGAGCACCCTGTCAGAAGACTCTGCCACCAAACATGTGTTCACAAGTAGAGGCTGCTTTCTCAGTTTGGTGCTGTCGCCCTGGCCCCTGTAAACGTGGGGGGTCCCTCCCCACAGGATGGCAGCTGCCACGTTTTGTTTGTAATAAATAAAACAGTTTCATGTCCTCTTCCCATATAAAGGAAATGGACCACTCATCAGCGAGGAGCAGAATTTGCACAAAGAATATTGGCCTCATTCATTTCTTTAGCTTATTCCATTTCTATTGCCAAATCGTTACTAATTAAAAGATTGAAGAGCTACATGTATTGAAACTATATGTTGAAATAGAATAATTATTAACATCAACAACTGCTTGGAAAAAATGAAAAAACACAGAAAAATTGAAAACACAATATAATACATAAGCATTTGAAGAACAAAATTTAAAAGTTGAAAGTGAATCTCAGAAACATAGTGAATAAGCAAGTGAGGTCAGCGGTCAGCCTGCTGAGGCCAGAACCTCGGTCAGTGTTTGAGCCTCTCGAAGCCAGGCTCTCACTTCCATAAAGTCGGGGGTGAAATAACGCCCGCCCTGGGTGCTGAAAGGGGCCAACGAGGTGCTTCCACAGGGAACCTCATGATAAACCACTGTTCTCCAGTACAGCCACCCGAGTGCTTCGGCCATTTCTGTTTTATGAAGCTCTTCCCTGATTTCACCCTAACTGAATGCTGGGGGAAATGCCTGTCTTAGCAATAAAATATGTTGTGATGACCCTACAGTTACCAGAGACAGCTGTCCTCCTTCTCACAGGGACGGTCAGAAGGAAAAACGTGCAGGCTTCCCTGTGGCTGACCAGGACGTGTCCGTGCAGCGGGTTCCACTCAGGACTGCAGAGACCCACGGCCTCTGTGAGCGTGGGGCCAGCGTCCTGCTCTCCAAGCTCTCTCCACCACTCCCCTCACTCCAAATATCGACTGCCCTGTGTTTATTTTTAATTTTTTTACTCTTCGCCCAAGGATATGTTTATTTATTTTAGATAGAAAGGAAGGGAAGGAAGGAGGGGAAAAGGGAGAGAGAGAGAAACATCCATCCATTGGTTGCCTCCTGTACACACTCAGACCAGGGGGCAAACCCGCATCCTGGGTATGTGCCCTGCCCAGAGATGGAGCCTGCAACCCTTTGGTGCACGAGACCATGTTCCAGCCAACTGAGCCACTCAGCCGGGGTTCCTTTTATTTTACCCGAAAATGAGAATATTTCTATATGTATGTTTAACCCTTTAAAAATAATTTTGGAGCCCTAACTGCTGTGGCTAGTTGGTTTGGCATCATCCTGCAAAGCGAAAGGTCGCCAATTCAATTCCTGATCAGGGCACGTGCCTGGGTTGCGGGTTTGGTCTCTGGTCAGGGCACATAAAACAGGCAACCGATTGATGTTTCTGTCTCACAGTGATGTTTCTCTCCCTTTCTTTCTCCCTCCTTTCCCCTCTCTCTAAAAATAAATGAACAAAATCTTTAAAATAGTAATATTATTGTTATTGTTATTGTTATTACTATAATTTTGGACAGTGAGCCAGTTAAGTGCCAACTGAAATAAGAATTTCTTCTTCCATTCTTCTTTAACCTGCACCGGGACAAGCCGTATAGCACATTTTTTTCCTATATCCTATTGCTATGCTATAGAATACCCTCAACTTTTGTTTGAATTAAAACATTATAAATTGGATAGTACATTCTTTAAAAAAACAAACATTATAATTAAGAAAAAATATTTAATAGATGCTCATGGTAAAGAGAGAGAGAGGGATGGAAAAAGAAAAAACCTCACCACACTGAAGGACCAAGAGCGAAAGGCACGTTATGCTCCCGCACAGAGAGGAAAGACTGAGAGCCAGAACCAAACCAAACTGAATACTGCTTTGTATCTGCTGGAGCCTCAAGATGGGTAAGTCACTTTAAAGCAGGTTTTCTCATCATTGGGAGTTTACACAGGAATCTTTGTTCAGCTGGAGTGGGCGGTTTGGGGCGGGTAGCCAGGTGAACACCTTAGGAGCAGAGCCCCCAGCACCAAGGTAACAGCGTTCCTGCACAGAAGGGGGGGGGGGGGGGGGGGCGGAGCGAATATCCAACAAATGTGTTGCCTAAGATAGGAATTGTTTCTTCAGCATACTTGATTTATTTGGTATCAGAATTCTAATCATTTATAATCCCTGAGGAAATGGAGCTCTGAGCCTTGTAATTATTCTGCTGGCCTCTATGTAAAACTATTTAAGGAGAAAGGCTCAGTCTTCATGACGGCGGTAATGGCAGAGCAGGTAAACAGACCCACAGGACAGGCACAGGGCCCAGGAACAGAGCCTCACGCGAAAGGCCACCTGGTGGGCAACAAGGGCGCCTGCCTTGCAGTGGGGAAAAGACAAGCTTGTGCACAAGCCGGCCCGTGTCGATGAGAAACCCTTGTGATGAACAGGAAACCTGACACACGGTAATGCAGATCGCTCCCAAGTCTGAAATAAGGAGACAAAACCCAGAGGTCCATCGACTGGAGAGGGATAAACTGTGGAACAGTCACACCATGGAATATTACATAGTAATAAAAAAGGATAAAGGATCAACTGCCGCTATGTGCAACAGATGGATGAACCCCATAAACACAATATTGAAAAAAGTCGAACACAAAACAGGAAATAGAGTATAATTTCCTTTACATAATGTTTAAGAGCAAGCAATGGGATCCAAAAAGTCAAAAGAGTAGCCGTCTTTGCCAGGGAGTCCATATTTTGAAGTGGTTCAGGGAGTCTTCTGTGGTTCTGTTTTATATTCTGATCTGTGTTACGATTAGGTGAGTATATGCATCATTAAAGTTTTACTATGCTGTACATTTAAGATCTGTGGACTTTACTGCATGCATATATCTCAGTTTAAAAAAAATCTCCACTGGATTTGGCAAGCTGCAATACATGAATAATAACATTAAAAATTATTTCCAAGCATGTTAAGAAACATGACCAGGAGATAAAACAGACACTAGGTAACAAATGATAAGTCAGAGGCTGTCAACATTTTTTATAGGTTTTGCAGGATATATACAGTCTCTGTTGGATATTCTTCTATTCTTATTTTACAGCCTTTTAAAATGTAAAAACCGTTTTTGGTTTATAGTCATGTGAACACAGGCTACAGGCCAGATTTGGCCCACAGGTAACCCAGATTTGGGAGCTGTTGGAACAATGATATTAAAAACTGTCACTGCTGTGTCCAAGAAAATACAAGATAAGTGGGAGAATTTCAAAAGAGAACGGCCGTCTAAAAATAAGAATCCAGTGGGAACTTCCAAGCTGAAAAGTAGGACTGAAACCAAGCACTTAATAGTTGAGTTTAACAGCAGTTTTAACAGCTTTGGACTTTTTACTTTTTAGACTTTTAAAACAGGTTCTGATAACTGAAGAAAGAGATAAAATGACACACAAAAACCACAGAAGAAGTGCGACACAGTGGAAAGGATAAATGTCCACATACTTTACACACGCAGAAGGAAAGGAAAATGGGGGAAACGCCATAATGAAAAAGAGGATGGCCACGCACATTCCGAAATAGACGAGAAACACACGCAGCCACAGATTCTCGATGCACTGTGAAAGCTGTGCGGGAGTGTGTGCAAAGAAAACTACACACGTCTCGTAGTAAAATTAATAAAATCGACAAAAATGAATCTTTAAAACAGAGAAAAGAATCATGAAGGGCAATGCTGAGATGCTGGCTGCCGTCTCAACAGAGCAGATAGAAGCTCGAAGATAGCATGTGCCACCTGCAAAGTGCTAAAAAAATATTAACTGCTGGTCCAGCCATCTGTTTCCAGAGCAAATGTCCTTTAAAAGTGACGACAAAATAAATATATCAGATAATAAAAAACTGAGATTACTCATCATCAGCAGACCTAACTTTATAAAAAAGCACCAAAATGAGTTTTTTAAGAGAAAAATGATCCTAGACAAAAGCGAGAACATGCATGCATGAAAAGCAAGCAACATGAAGGGTTAAAATATATGGGGAAATGCAGATGAATATTCACTGTACATATTAACATAAAAACGTCTCGAGACTTCAGAACACACGGAGCATCAGTGACCACTCAGGCGCCCGCACCCAGAGTCCCTGGCCTCCTCCTGCCCCCTCCCGACTGCTCTCTGCAGATAAGCGCTGCTTTGCATTTTGTATTTATTGCTCCTCTGCCTCTCCATTTTTACCGCGTAGATACCTTCCTCTAAATGATGTATTACTAAGCTTTGCTTGTGTTTTCAATTTATATGAATAGAATCAATCTGTCTACATCTTGTACACGGCTTTTATTTTTTTACTTTTTTGTTTGACATGATGCTTGTGTAAGTCCAGTGAAAACATCCTTCAGGAATAAGGTGAAATAAAGACATTTTCAGAAGATGGAAGGAAAATGAAGAGGACTTATCACAAGCGGAACTGCTCTGAAAACACATGACGGAGTCTGACCGGAAACAATACCAGAGAGAAATCTGGGGCCTTGGGACAAAAGGAAGAGCAAAGACAATGGCAACTATCTGGGTAAAAAATACGTTTTTTCTTATTTTAATCTAAATGCATTTCTTGTAGACATCGTACAGGTTAGCCTTGTATTTTTTAAAAATCCAACCTGACTATATACATTTAAAAATGTGTATAACATTTGTAAATGTGTATACACGTGTATAACCAAAAATTATAACATGTGGTAGTGACTTCAGTGTATATGGATGTAATGCACATATAGCAACTATAACATAGAGAAGAGTCGAGTGAACTACAAGGTTATAAGATTTCTGTATTTTATTGGAAGTGGTGAATTATTAAGTCTAAGAAGACTGTGACATATTAGGTACATATATTTTTTAATCCCTAGAATCACTACTAAAATTAGATAGATATAGATACAGCCAAATATTCAACTAATTAATGAAAATGGAACTCTAAAAACAGTTCAAATAATTCAAAAGAGGTCAGGAAACGAAGACATGAAAGCAAATAAAAATTTAAAAAGAGGGAACAAATAAACCAAATAATAAAATGGTAGATATAAACCCAACCAAACCAATACTTACATTAAATCTAAATGACATAAACATACAAGTTAAAGACGGAGATTATGATATTGGATTCAGAACAAAACAAAACCCAACTCTGTGATGTCTACCGGAGCCCACTAGAATCAAAGTAAAAGGGTAGAAAGGAAATATCACTAATCAAAAGAAAGCTGGAGCACCTGGCTGGTGCGGTTCAGTGGTTGAGCACTGGCCTACGAACCAAAGAGTGGCTGGTTCAATTCCCAGTCAGGGCACATGCCTGGGCTGCAGGTTCGGTTCCCCCATGAGGGGTGCACAAGAGGCAACCACACACTCAGGTTTCTCTCCCTTTCTTTCTCCCTCCCTTCCCCTCTGTCTAAAAATAATAAATAAATTCTAAAAAAGAAAAAAGAAAGCTGGAGTGGCTATATTAATAGTAAAAAATCAATTTCAAAATAAGAAATATTACCATAGATAAAGAGCAAAATTTATATGCACCTAACACTAGTCCTTCAAAATATATGAAACAAAAACTGACAAAACTAAAAAGAGACATAGAGAAGCCCAAATTATACTTGGAGACTTCTCGATAATGAAGAAGTAGAACAGAAAGTCAGCTAAGATATAAAAGACTTAAACAATACTAGCATCCACCTTCACCAAATTCATATTTATAGCACACTGCCTAAGTGGAGCAGAGTAGATGTTATTCTTAGTGCACATGGAACATTCACGAAGATGGACCATATCTGAGACATGAGATGAACTAACAAATTTTAAAGACAAGAAAGCATACAAACTATGTTCTCTGACTGCAGTGGTATTAAAGTAGAATCGATAACAGAAAGACATCTGAAAAAAAATTCCCTAATATTTGAAAATTAAGCAAAATTTCTAATAACACATAAGTCAAATAGGAAGTCACAAGAGAAAAGAAAGTATTTTAATAAAATGAAAATAAAAAGCCAACATAGCAAAATCTAGAGGAATGGCTAATGAGTACTTAGAGGGAAACTGGCTTAAATGCTTATAGTTTTAAAAAATGAAATCTCTCAAATGTTTTAACTTTTCACAAGGAAAATAGAAAAAGAACAGATTAAACACCATGTAAAGACAGAAAGTAGGAAATAATAAATAGCATAAATCATATAATAAAACATGAAAAGAGAAAATCAATCAAGCCAAAACCTGACCTTTTAAAAAAATTAATAAAATTGATAAACCCTTAGCCAATCCATCCAAGAAAAATAGACAAGATAAAAACTACCAATGTAAGGAATGAAAGCAGTGACATCATCAGAGGTCCTACAAACATCCTTCAAAAGGATGATTAAAAATTATAAATTAGCTTTGTCTTTAAATTAGACAGCCTAAGTGGAATAATTCCTTGAAAGGTACAAACTCCCAAAGCTTCTTCAAGACACACATAACCAAAAGATACAGTTTAGTTACCTTATGATGTGCTTGATTTGTAGTAAGATACTGCTCTCCAGGGTGATGTTCAGAGCACTTGCCAGGTACTGATTGAACTCCTCAAAGAACATTTCATTCCCTTCCTCATACTTCCCATAGTTCTTTGAATATTCCTTTTGAATGCAGTGATTGGTCAAATGGCAGGTTTTGTCTTGGAAGTTATCGACGTGGTACGGCTCTGACGCGGTCCGCAGCACGCCCTCTCGGTAGAGGTAGATATTATACTGGTGATCCACCAGGACCCAGCTTCTGCAAGTCAACAAAGGCAGTTTTACTGAAGTCCTCCACAGTTCCTTCAAATCAGAAATATACGTATCAATCATCCTCACACCCTGATCTTCCTGGCGGAGGGAGAGGACGAAGGTAGGATCTGAAAGTACACAAGGAAGCCCCCACCACTAGCTAAGAAAGTGAATGACCACTGTAAGGATCTGAAAAAACATTTCCCCACCAGTGACGAGGACACTCTGATCCATTCAAAAGACAGAGCATTTTAAAGACATCTGATGGGTTTGTTTTAAAGGTTAATCTATAAAACCTCCATTTGCTGTGTTTGGTGATTTTAAGTAATTTTAAGAAAAGACTGTTCATCCTGCAGCGGGTCTGACACCGAATAGCTGACCGGACATAAAGGCAGCAGAGACCATGTCCTTTCTGGGGAGCAAACAGCAGGGCAGAGAGCAGGCTGGGCCCAGGGCCTTCCGGCTTCGGAAAGCCCCGCCCCTCTTCTCTCAGCCGGCCCTTCACTGAGAAAGTTAAAGTCCAGAAACCTGGGGTGTGTTTATGAAATCCTTAAAAAGGGGGATACAATAAGGTCAGGACATGTTATATTTGTCAGAGTCACATGATCTGTTGTGTCTGAATTATGTGTTCCGTGTGTATCTCTCTGCTTCTTGTACAAGGCCCATATATTTATACCCTTCCTTTTGGATTCACGAGTCATTTTCATCAAAGAGAATAGTAAGTAAAAAAAATAATAAAAGAAGAAGAAAAAAGAGGAGGTGGGAGAGAAGGAGAAGAAGAAGAAGGAAGGAAGAGAAGGAGGACAAAGAAAAGAAAAAAATATTGAAAGAAAAAGAGAATTAGGTACGGAAGCTCGGTTCCATTCAGCTGTGCTCAATTTTGGGAACACACTAAACACAGCGAAACACTTCCTCACATTCCTTGTCACCCTCCTCACCACACGCCGCTGAATTTTTTTTTTTTCAGATTAGTGAAAGAACGGACTTGGGTGCATTACCGAATGTCAAACTTGCGATGACCGGGCTCCAGGAGCAGAGGGCGCTCGAGGTATTTCTGGATCACGTGCACCTGGCCCTGGTTGTCTATGAAATCCAGAAGTTCTGCAGCATCGGATGAGATAAGGATGCCTTCGCCTAACAGGGCAACATCAAAGTGAAAATTAGTGCCGTAGTTCATCCGAAGAGGAACCGCTCTCTGCAAACAGAGGGGAGACACCGACAGCAGGAAACACAGGCAGGAGGTTCTTCCTGGCCGCTCACTCTGCTTTCTCCACCTTCCCTTTTCCAGTCACTCACTCTCCCCTCCACGCGGAAGCCCCGGGGTCGTTCCACGTTTTCTCTATATAGGGTTGTAAACACTGGCGTGGCAAGCTCCGATCGTGATGTTTCATTTTGAAAGACACTCTGAAAGCCTAAGCATGCTAAATAAGTGCTGCTCTCCTGTCGATCACTGGCTACCAGGATAAACACGAGGTATGTATGTACTGCCTGCGACCACTTCTAAATTCCTGGTATCTTATGGAAATACCAGGAAGATTAGGGCATAGATACAAATGTACAAGTGGATTCCCTGAAGCTTTGTGACAGAAAAAAATTGGCTACATTCAAAGTATCTGTAAGCTTTATCAACATTAAATAACATTAACAGCTTCACCAATATATATTTTACATGCCATAAAATCCACCCCTTTAAAGCATACAATTGAATGGTTTTAGTACGTTCCAGCAGCCATCACAACAATCTCATTTTAGAACATTTTCCTCACCTCTAAAACACCCCATTATCCACTAGCGGTCCCTGCCCATTCCTTCCTTGCCCTGGCCCCTGCCAGACAGTAACCTATTATGAAGCTGCCTGCTTTAGATGTCTCATATAAGTAGAATCATCAAGCACGTGGCCTTTTCGAGTTGGGCTGTTTTTGCCGACCATTGTATTTTCCAGGTTCATCCATATTGTAGCATGTTCATTCCTCCATATGACAGAATATCATGCCACCGTATGGTTATATCACATTTTGCTCAACCATTCACCAATTAATTGATGGACAGTTAGGTTATTTCCACTGTTGTTTGGCTCTGATGGGTAATGCTGCTATAAAAATTTGCACAGAAGTTTTTTGTGCCCATATGTTTTCAGTTCTTTGGGGAGTTACACCTAAGAGTGGAATAATCTGGTAATTCTATGTTTAACTTTTTGAGAGACTGACTATCAAACTGCTTTCCAAAACTGATGCACCATTTTACATTCCCCCAACATATGAGAGTTCCAATTTTTCACATCCTGCCAACACTTGCTATTATCGATCTGCAGGATTATAGCCTTCTTAGTGGGTGTGAAGTGGTACCTCACTGTGACTTTAACTGGCATTTTCCTAATAACTAATAATGTTGAGCATGTTTTCATGTGCTTATTGGCTATCTTATTTGTCTTCTTTAGAGAAATTTCTATTCAGATCCATTGCTCACTTCTTAATTTGGACTGTCTTTTTATTATTGAGTTATAAGAGTTCTTTATACATTCTGGATACAGATGCCTTATAAGAGATATGATTTGCAAGCATCTTCTCCCATTGTACACAACTCCATTATTGCATGGATCCCTCCCGTAGCTCTTTTAAAGCCACAACTGCCTCCCTCCCCTTCACCCCTCCCTGACAACTACTAATCTGCTCTCCGTTTCTATAGTTTTGTCATTCCAGAAATGTCACATAAATAGGATCATACGGCATGTGCTCTTTGGGAACCAGTTTTTGCACACAGCAGAATTCTCTGGAGATTCATTCAAGTTGCTGCTTTTAGCAGTAGTTCACTCCCTTCTAGTGCCGAGTAGTATTCTGTGGTGTTAATTCACCAAAGTTTGCTTAACCATTCACCCTAATCATTCAAAGTTTGCTAATCAACCCAGAAATTCTGGGTTGTTTTAGGTTTCGGGCTATTATGAATAAAGCTGCTGTGAACAACCACATACAGGCTTTGTGTGGACGTGTTTTCATTTCTCTGGAACGAATGTCCAGAAGTGTGCAACTGGATCTGGAGTTTACAGGGAAAGACCTCACTGGAGATGTACACATGTGGAGATGTGCGTGCTTGGAGATGTCCATGTATGAGTCATTAGTGTGTAGATAAATATTTAAGACTATATAACTAGATGTGCTAACTACCTCAAGGATTCAGGTTAGAAGAGTCACCCATCTAAGTACATCACCAGCCCTCGCTGGGTAGGTCATTGGTTGGAGCATCATCTCGATTCACCAAAGTTGCAGGTTTGATCCCTGGTTGGGGCACATACTGGAATCAACCAATGCATGCACAAATAAGTGGAATAATAAATTGATGTTTCTCTTTTTCTCTCTCTCCCTTCCCCTCTCCTTAAAAATCACTACAGACAAATACATCATTAAAAGTCAGCACGCAATTGCACAAAGTACTGGGAACCTACAGAGACAGGAGGAAGGGATGACGATGCCAGCTCACCTTTGGCACCAGCAGACGACTTTGCAATCCAAACGTTGCCCTCTCCATCTTCCTTCTTTTTGTTGTAAGAAGCCAGGAAGAATTCCCTTTCGTCTGTCCTCGAGTTAGGGATTGGTGGGTGGATTCCATTCTGTGCGGGAGCAGCTGGGGTCTTGAGATTAGTGGGATAAATCACATAGGACTCAGGGAACCATGTGCAGGACTCGGCCAGTTCTGGGCTTGTCTTGATTAGCCTGGAACATGACAGAGGGTCAATCTCCCTTCTTAGCAATCTGACCCTCTATTCAGAAAAGCCTGCGCTACCTCCAGAGGTCATCGAGGAGGCTGGGTATAACTGGGGCCAGGGGCTAGTCTCCTTCTCGTCCCAGTCTTTGCTCTTGGCCTTTTGGGGCCGACCTGCAATGCACTATCAGGTGCACATAGCTATCCATGAACCTTACAGGCCTGTGTCAGCTGGTTCAAAAGGGATCTAATGTCCAGAACCTAGCGCTTTTCAAAATGCATCTCCAAGGAGACTTAACTTTGAAATAATCCTGAGCCAATACCTTCCTGGCTTCAAGACAGACTAAAAGAGGAATCTTTCCAATGGGACACAGGACTCCAGTGGTTGTAACTAAACACACCTCCAGTCCCCATACCCCCAAATCACATGACATGACAGAAGATAAAGTCAGGCTCTGGGCAAGGCACTTCCTAAACAGCGGGGCTTATAAAGGGCTTCCCTCCATGTCTGCTCTCCAGCTGGTGCCCCCAGGAGAGGCACCAGCACCCCATTTCATAGATCAGGCAGTGGGCTACAGATAAGTATGTTCCCCAATACCACGAGGTAGTAAGACTCAGGCAGGATGCAAGTCCCCACATCCCGAGTCCTGCTTCTGCACTGACCCTCACTCCCTAGGGATCAGAGCCAGGGAGGAACCAAAGACATTCACAGGCCCGCCCCAAGCTGGGCTCCCTCTTCTGCAGACTGTTAAGATTAAGTCTGTGTTAAGGTTCACCTGCAAAACCCAGTCTATGAGCAAATGGCAGAAATATGAAAAGGAATTTAAAATTGCAATTGAAAACAAAATTATTTAAAAGTTAAAGACAACAGGATTTGAGTCACTTGAACTCAGAGGCACAGACAAATACATTTCAAATTCACCGAATGGCCAACCCTATCTGCATTGTCCAATAGGGTGGCCAGTGGCCACATGTGGCTCCTGGGCACTTGAAATGTGGCCCATATGACTCAGGAACTGAATTTTAAATTTAATTTAGTTTTAATTTAGAGACTAAAGCACAAAATATTTGTCCACTGAGCACCACTTCCTTGTTCCGGTCGGAGGACACTGCACTTCCAGCGCTGCAGGCCCAGGCCACTTGTGCTGCACCACGCGTGCCGGTCCGGTCCGGTCCGGTCCGGTCCGGCGCTGTTGTCCCGGGGCCACGTATAAATACATCGCTATTCCACCCAGGGACAACAGATCGATTCAGTCCCCGTGGGGTTTCCATGCACTTTTGAAACATGATAATGTGTCTATGATGCAGGCAACATGAGTTACAGTGATAGCTAGGTAAATCAAAATGGGTAACTGAAGTGAAATATAATTATGTTTCCAGTTAAAAAATAGGCACAGAACACGTATAAAGAAAGGGCCCATGGACAAGGACAACGGGGAGGATTTTATGTGGGGGAGGGGATGGGCAGGGCAGGGGAGAGCAATGGGGGAAATGGGGACCACTACAACTCATTGTGGCAGAGTGGAACAAACTCCGCTGTGTACAGGAGACGTTTTCAGCAAATGCACACTGAGTTTGATAAGCATCTTCCTCTCAAGAGTCAAACAAGAATCAACACAATTTGTGAATGAAATACAAATGAAATAAATTAAACTATTCAACAAGAAATGTAAACAAATTTTTAACAATCTGTGCCCGTAACGTTGGTCAGCTATAAAATGGCCTGGAGTCTACACACGAACAGAAAATCATTTTAGATGGAAGTGTGATCAAAAAAATTATTTTGAGGAAAAGACTAAAAAATTTTTTTACAAAAAATGAACAAGTTCAGCCAGTTAAGTAATTGCCCATAGTGTACAAAACACTTCTAACGATATTAAAGATTTATTCAAAACTTGAAAACTAAAAGAAATTCACGTTAGATGAGCGGTGTGATGGAAGAGATGCTGCCTGAGTACGCTTTGGGTGTATTTCCCTCAAAGGATTTGCAAATATATGAAAAAACATTGTCAAATTGCAGGCTACAAAATAGCAAACTCATTGTGTAGCTACTTTTTGATCTTTTACACCTGTGGGAGAAGACCTTCACCTGCTTGCTTTGAAACATCAGTTTCTATCACAATGGACAGTACTCCAGCTGGGCTGGGTTAAAATTGGATTCACTGGGATTTTTTAAAAGACTGATATTTCCTTTATTGCTTCATTCGACTGTCTGATACATCCTGGAAACATCTGCACTCAGTTTTCTGAAGCCCACTCCATGGAAAGTATCATGGATACAGCTGTTAAAATGGTTCAGTATACACTTGCAAATACAGAACTGCTACGAGACACAGAGGACAATGTTTAATGATGCCGTGTTCTTTGCCAAGGATAGTCAGATGGAGAGTTTTGCAAAGATTTAGGGTACAGTTTATTCCAACTGAGGTTTTCTTGAAATAAAAAGAATGCTTGACAAATCATTATTTTCAGTGATTCACACTTCACTCAATCATCACAGATTACAACTGGCAGTGTGATTCTCGCACTACTACAAGCTCATTTTAAACCTCCGCAGAAGGGAAGAGAAGACCTTATTTATTGCCCCAGCCAGACAGGCATGAAAGTTTATGTTCCAACTTTGTAATCCAAGTCCATAATAATGATTTTACAAATTTTGTATAACATGACTTAATATGCAGAAGATTTTAATTGTAACAGACGGCAAATTGGCTGCAAAAACTAAGGAAAGTGTTGAAGAACACTCGGGTGATGTTAATAAATTTAGAGTTTCTTTTCAGTTTATGAAATACCCTTTTGAATTTGATAATAGTACCACGGAGTTAACACAAGAGTTGGTAGATTTATTTAACTTGGATATAGTTTAAAAATGATATATGCTTTTGCTTTAAAGCCAAGTGAATTCTTCTAATAAAATGAACCTTTTTGTCAATGTGCATGGGATTATTAAAGGAAAATGGTTTGGGGTATTCAATTCAGTTGTCAAAAAATTTTTACATAGGTGGGAACAACTTGGGTATACAAATCGTTTTTATGCATAAATTTATGAAATCTACATATAGAAAAAGGGGTTTGCAATGAAAATTTGGTGTCTAAATTAAGATGTGCTATAAATATAAAATATACACCAGATTTTGAAGACTCAGAATTTAAAAAAAATATATAAAATACATAATTTGCTTGTTTATATTAATGACATGTCAAAATAATATTTTAGATTATTTGGTTAAATAAAATGTATGATGAAAAATTGCACCTGTTTCTTTGTTCTAATTTTATTGTGGCTACTAGGAAATTTAAAATCACACATGTGGCTAGCATGCTGTTTCTGTTGGACAGCGCTGGCCTACAGGGTAACCTCGATTTGAAAGCCTTCATTTCCTATACAAAAAAGAGACCAGCTGCTACAGAAGTCCCTTGCATTGGTCCCATTTCCTCATAAGCCCATTTGGAAAGAAATCATGAATGAAGATTTACATCCACACGGAAGAAATGCTCTTAAGAGGAAAAGAGTCTCCAACCTGAGCCAAAAGAAAAGCCCTCAGGGCTCTCTGAGTCTGTGGCCTCCGGCCTCGTGAATTTCTGACGCTTCCTGAAGGGACAGCAGGAAGGCGCCTGCCGTACAGGATCCCGTGTAGGGAGCCCCTGGGCGATGCCCAGGCGCCCTGCCCACAGCCCCCTGAGCACAGGCGAGGCGGGTCCTGGCCCAGCACCGACTGCCATGGCCCTGGGCAATCCAGCTGCCCTCTGCGAGCTGCCATTTAACATGGCTTCTTTTTTTTTTTTTTTTTTAACTTTCTGAGCCATTTTGAGCCATGCAAAATTATGGGAAGGAGACAGAATGACAAAGGGATCCATCACCTCCTGGAATTACTACAGTCCTTCTCAGGGTACCTGAGAGAATAAAGGACACTTGTGAAGGTGAGGACAACCCCAGCCTTCGTAAGTCAAGACATCAGAGGCTGCCTCACATGCCACCAAGGGGCAAAGAGCAGGGGTGATGACCACAATCCCCATTTTACAGATGGACCACTTGGCGGGGGCGGGGGCGGGGCGGGAGGGGGCGGGGCAGGTGTCGGCGTGGCGCTGTCCAAGGTCCCAGGGATCAGCCGCCTGCTCAGACATGATCATCACTCCAATCCTGTACTCGCTCAACCTCACTGCAGCTGCTAAATATGCAAATACGAAGGATATATTTTACAGCGTCTTCTGCTCCTACTTATAAAAGTAAAATTCTACTTTTATCTTTACATAAAAAAAATCACAGTAGAAAAAAGACTGAATAAACATTTTATAGTAATCTTTAAATAAGTAATCTGGATAAACAAGCATGCCTCATTTCTAGTTCTAGTGAAAAAAACTTCCGCAGTGAATATATAATAAATATGTAATCAGAAGAAGACTTCAGAAAACCTGGTCTCCTTTAGGAGTAGCTGGCAAAGCGGGAAAGCCCAGCCCTGAGAGAGGTGCACACGAAGTCACTGGGGCCAGTGATTCTGAACAAAACAGGGCACGTGCCTATGAACACTCCACCCGGTAAATATCTAGAGTCCAGAAAGAAACGTGCGCGGGGAGAGAGCGAGTCACTGAGTCGTGTGTCCCCTGCCTCCTCCCCAGGACAGTTTGTTTGGCAGCACGCACGTCTTCAGCAGTCATCGGAGGGAAACCATGGAACCTGCTGCAGCCCTGAGTTTAAGGGCCATTCCCGCCTTCCCTACTGAAATGATAACAAGAGCAGTGGTAGCCATAACCATGGTAACGATAAGAACTTTCACTTGTACAGGGTGAACTGCCCGGCAGACGTTATTCAAAGTCTTTGCATAAATGAATTCAATCCCAACAACTCCGAGGCACTTACTATTATTATTCCCATTTTACAGAAAAGGAAACAAAGGCAAAGAGTCGAACGCTCACTATAAACCGCTGTGGCCCGCACTTCGCATGCATCACCTTATTCCATCCTCACAACTACCCATGAGGGACGTACTGGGGCTTAGAGGGATGAGGAAATTTGCCTACACCAAGAGGAAGAGTTGGGATTACAAGATAAGCGGATAACATTGCTTCTCTGTCTTAGAATACTGTTCTTAGGACGCCTGCCAAACCCACCTCTGCAGAGAGGGGCAGTGTGGCAGATGCGGTTATGCCTCGCCAGGTGTCCTTCTTGAGGGGGCTCTGGCTGCTGTGTGATGGCTGCCAAGGGCTTGTGCGTGTCCCTTCTCCAGGGACCAGCCGTACCCAGAAATGTTCCACTTCTCACCACTGACACTGGATGACAGACACTGGAGTGCAAAACACTCACTGAAGAAGCCTGTCCCAGGCTGTGCATTTGGGAGCCTGGCCTCAGAGACAGACAGGCTTCATCAAGTGCTAGATGGCAGAGTTCTGGATTGCAATAGAAGTAGCTCCATCAGAGGAAGCTCCAAAACTGATATGTGTCGGCGTTTTAGATAAAAGTACTTTCGCCCTTTAGAACTAACCCCACATTTCTCCTTAAGTGCTTCACAATGAAAGCTAACACCATTTATGTAAAAGAAGAAGAACAGGTTTTAAAGAACACTTACTTCACTAAAGAAGCTTTGCGACACAGTTTGTCAGCCCCCCTGTAGTAATTCACCAACTGCACCAGCCCAGGCTCGTGACCTGTGAACGAAAGGGAGGCTCAGAAGGGGGCGGGAACCGGTCAGCACCCATGCACCCGCGCACAGGAGAGCGAACAGCTGTGTCACGGCCAGCTTTCCCTCTCCCTTGCAGGACTGGCGATTAGAGAAGGGATCATTTTGCTGCCCTGCGCCTGCCTGTACGGCCCCTCGCCTGAGCATTCCACTGGCACACCCAGCCTCCCCATAGTGGACGCTATAATATCAACATTGTAGAGCTGTCTGAGACCACTGCTGCTTTTGTTTGTTCTTTAAAAAAAAGATTTTATTTATTTATTTTTAGAGAGAGGGGAAGGGAGGGAGAAAGAGAGGGAAACATCAATGTGTGAGACACCTTGATTGTTTGGTTACCTCTCCCACATACCCAACAGAGGACTTAGCCCACAACCCAGGAATGTGCTCTGATTGGTAATCAAACTGGCAACCCTTTGTTTTGCAGGCTGGCACTCAATCCACTGAGCCACACCAGGGCTGTCTGTTCTTGAGGTGGAGGGCTGCTTCCCATTTCACCTCTCTCAGACCCCCACTGCACCCCTCCCTGGCTTCATACACCGACTTGTGAGTTACCTCTGTACAGTTAGGACTTCAGCGGAGTCATGCCCTGACCTCCCAAGCCTTGTCCCTACAGCCATCAGGGAAGGCAGCAGAATTGATGTGCCTTGTCCTCCAGCATATTTGCATCTGCAGGCTTGTAAGAAAGCCACCAGAAGGCAAAGGAAGGCAGTGGACTTTTTTCCCCATAAGGAAACTCATTTTCAATAGATCTTATGGCAGGTCCCTTGCTCGATAAAATTAGAGCAGAAAACATACAAATAAAAACAAAAGTCTAATTTTTTGTTTAAAATCCTAACAAAATGCACTGAATTTCCAGCAACAAAAGCACAAAGCCAAACAAAGGGAGTTCGAAGGTAAGAATAATTCACCTGAGAACAGTAGACAAGCGGATAAAAAGTTTCAGGCACTACCTGGCTGTCACCAGCTTCCTGGCTCACACCTGGGCTGCCTACCTTCTCACCTGGGGCCTTGGCACCCTGACCCCTTACCCAATTTCTCTTTGGGACCCCCCTGGTGCACTTTAAGCAAAAGGCAAATATGTATGCAGCGAAGGCATGAAACGATTTGGGTGGCGGGATGCTGCTTCCTTTCCCCCACACACCAAACGCTTACTGCTCATCTGCTGACTTTGTGGGGCTCGTGTGGGTCTAGACCTGCTGGGTGGTTTCTGCTCCTCCTTCCTAGTCCTGACCGCCACAGCGATGCCATGGACCTTGCTACAACCCTGCCAGAGCCATCTGTGTTTTCAGTGCTAGGAGGCCGTCTAAGCTTTTACAGCCAGGCACTGCAAAGAGGAAGGAAGTCAGGCAGGCGGGGAAGTAGACGGAGCGAGGAGGAAATAAATGTTCCGGACTATAAGCAGATTTTCTTCTTTGAGGGGAGGTGTTCTCTGTGGAGAAGGAGGGCTTCTTGGGGAGAAAGTTAACAAAGGGGGATCTCAGGCAAGTTCCCTGTACTCCAGGATTTCTGGGGGGGAGGGGTGGCAGAGCCAACCCCACCATGCGTCATAACCTTGTATAACCGTAAAGAGCGGTTCACGGCTCCATTCCAAAGAAGACTCCAGTGAGGCTGTGCTGCCACACCCTCCACTCCCCACACCATCCAAGCACAGGCTCTCCATTCAAAGGCTCTAAGCTCACAGCAGCCAGTTGGTTTTCCGTCTCTGCCCCTTCGACCTCCCCACCCCTGGCCACACCTATTTCTAGAAACTGTTTCTTCTCCTGGACACAGAACACTGCTCTGTTTAGTTGCCTTCCAAGACGCGATGGCTTTTCTTCATTACCGATTCTCTGCTTGTGTCTTGGCCTGCGATTTGGCCCCCACCCCAGGGGGATTTGTCAGAGAACTCCGCTGCTGTCGGGGCAGAGGCTGCAGGTCCTGGTGACCGTGCAGCGGGGAGACGCCTGAGGCTACATTCAGGTTGGTCGGAGGTGAGTTGAAGCCCCTGCACAACTTCTGGATTACGTCATCTAAAGAGCAGTGAGAGTGGTCCATACCCCCACCGCCTCCCCAGGGCCACGTGCACCTGGTGGCGCCAAGCCAGCTCCAACCATGTGAAGGAAGCAGGGCAGAGGGTGAACCCAGCGTCGTGTAAAATCTGCATGCAGCCCCCCATTGTGAACCCACAATTGTGAACACACACTTTCTTGGGTGAATCTAATGATCGGTCTGAAATCACAAGTCCCCAGCCCCTCTGAACCTCCTGCTTTTGGAATCCAGATCTTTTCCAAGTCCCCTGGCGATTCACCCGTGCCTTGGGGGAGCTGAATCCTCCGGGTTTTCACCACACACAAGTGCCCCTCCCGCGCCCACACCAGACCGGGAGCAAGCCTCCAGCCAGATGTCACCCTGGGCCCGGCTTCTTGGGCTTCTTGGAGCCTCCCTGCCCGGCGCTCAGCCTGAGGACCTGCCTGATCGGGGTGTCGGCCAGGCGAGGGGGGCATCAGGCCTGGGACGGGGGATGGGCAGAGGGGGCGCGTGGCCCGGGGATGGGGGCCGTCGAGCCTCCCATGGAAGGGCGCTGGGCCTCGGGATGGAGGGGGCGGGGAGTGCGGCCCGAGGATGGGGGCGTCGGCTCGGGGGATGTGGGGCCGGGCGGCCTATGCCCTCTGAGCTGCAGGACTGGCCGTGGACTGGGGGCCGCGCGGTGACTCGGGTCCGAATCCGATTCTGAAGACCAGAGACATTAAGTTAAGAACGATGGTTTAGACCTTTAGGGATGCGTGTTTTATCCGCCGGAGGAGTGACGGGGAAAAGATCTGTGGCCTTAACACAAAAGCGCTGGCTCTGGCGGGCCCCAGGGGCGGAGTGCGCACGGGAACCGGGACGCTCACCCAGTCTTCCGAAGGGCAGCCGGTTCCGCTCTCCCAGCATCAGGTTGAATCTGGGGTTGTCCCGCCGTAGCCGCTTCCAGTGGCCGGAGGCGACCAGCAGCCGGGAGACTTCAGCGTAAACGCTGCTGTTCTCGTCGCGCACCACGAAGGTGAACATGGCTAGGCCGCCAGCACCGGGCGCAGGGACCAGACCAGCTCCGCGTGGAACCCGCCGGCGCGTCGCAGAGGCCCCGGTCCCCGAGTCCCAGCCCCGTCACCAGGGTCACCGCCCTGCGCACCGGGCTCGGAACTCCGACCACGCCCCGCCTCCGCGCGTCCCCGCTCCCCCTGGGTCCAGTTCCCGCCGCGTCCCGGCCCGGGCGCGTTCCCAATTCCCCGGGGCCTTGGTGCAAAGGCCCCGGTCACCGCGTCCCCGCCCACCGCGTCCCCGCCCAGCGCGCAGGCCCCACCCCTTGCACAGGCCCGCGCCCCGCCCTCACGCGTCCCCGTCACCAGAGTCCCCGCCCCGCGTCCCGTCCCGCCCCTCCGGAGCCCGGAGTCACGGCCCATGCAGCCCCGCCCCCGCCCTGGGATCCCGCACAGCTGCGGGAGCCGCAGGCGCTGTGAGTCCCAGATGGAGGCGTGGGGAGGTGCGCAGGAGATGGACTCGTGCCTGGACCGCGTCCTCCCGAGCTCAAGGTTACAGCCGGCGGGGGAGGGGGTCGCTGTGCAAACAGAAGAGGCATTTTTCCACCTACTATTTTTAAGGGACATTTTGTGAATAAAAACAAAAATTTTGAGGCCCCGAGCTGTGTCCAAGATGTGCTTCCCTTCTTTTTCTGTTTTAGGATCACTGAGGACCCGCGGAGCGCTCCGGCGGCTGTGGTGCACTGGGGTCGAGACTCCTTTCACCTGCTGAGACCCTCTGGGGGTTGACTTTAGGTCTCTCTACAAGCCCCAGGAGCCCGCGACAGACAGGTGTTGGGCCGTCACTTTCCCTTCTTCGGACACTGATTTCCCTTCTGAGTGGGAAAGTGGTTATTATTTTTAAAATTTATTTATTTTTATTGTTGACTCTATTACAGAGGTCTCCAATTTTTCCCAACTTGCCCTCCTAAACCCAGCCTCCGCCCCTTCCCCCTTTACCACATTGTTGCCTGTGTCCATGGGCCAAGCAAGTATGCACACATGTTCTTTGGCTAATTTCTTCCAGTCCCCTCAGCCTCCAATACCCTCCCTCTGGACTCTGTCCAGCTGACCCATGTACCCATGTACCCATGCCTCTGTTTTTATTTTGTTCCTTAGTGGTTTTTAAAGTCCCTTGGAATATTTGGTGCATTTGAGGAACAGAGAAACTTTCTACCCTCCTAGAAATCAATCGTCCACACCAGGCAGGCGAGTGCCTCTTTACACTTCACAGAAACAAACACCCCAGTACCTCTTGGCATTGTCCTGACTATCCTGTATGCAGGTATCTACCTTGAATATTATAAAGGCGCCCTTCTTTCTCCCATTTCTGCCTGTGTTTTCTGGGGTGGGAAGGGCAACTTTCCCCAGGGGCTTCCAGCTCCGCCACCACCTGAAGACCACACTGGCTGTAGGAAACTTTCTGGAGAAGAAATGGGGACGGCTCAGAAGAGGTGGGGCACTTACATGCTCCAGCCGGGCAACCCTCCGTCCCTGGGGATAAGAGTTGGGAGACAGTGCTCGGCTTCCTCTCCCTCCAGTGGGTCTGTGGGACCTAGGCTGGGCCCAGCAGGAAGGACTACTCCATCTCCTTTGCCATTGTGATTGTTTAACACAGAACAGTGACCCAAATCTGGCCAGTCTGATTGGAATTTTTCTACCAGAGCTATGGAGAGACTTTTTTTTGTTTGTTTCCCAACTGGAGTTGCTTAGCTGGAAAACTGTGTGAGACTCCCTGCAGCTCTCTTGAAATCTTACAGAGGGAAGACCCTGTAAGAATTCAGGGTCTTGCCATCTGCTTTCCAGTGGGCCCTGCCATGTGGGCATGCAAGTTCCTGCCAACAGAACGTGAACAAAGTAATGTGCATCTCTTACTAGTCTGGACCTCAGAATTTGAGCATGCCTTCTCCTCAGGAGTGTGTATTACCCCTTCCAAAACTGGACATAAAGCCAATAACAACAGTGGAAGCAAAGGATGTAAGAAACTCACTAAGACTCATTATATGCTGGGACACGAAGGAAGCCTGAACAAATTTCAAAGGATCAAAATAATTTTGAATACTTTCTCTGACCTCAGTGGAATTAAGCTGCTTGGAAATTAAGTAATACACACTTTAAAACTGAGATATCCTTGACATATTTCATTATATTTGGTTAAGGAGTACAACGTGTTGATTGACAAGGGAAAAACTGCAATTCCTACACTGAACACAACAAAATGTAATTGGGAGAAGTGTTTGAAGCACAAATAAATGGAAGACTACACCACGTGCGTGACTGGAAGACTCAGAACTGTTAAGCTGTCAGCTGTTGCCAAACTGAGGGGTAGATCAGTGCAACCCCAAACAAAGCGTGGGCAGGGCTATTTGAGGAAATTGACATGGCAGTCCAAAAGTTACACAGAAATGCAAAGGACCAAGAATAGCAAAGGCATTCTTGAAGAAAATTGGAGGATTTACATTATCAAATATCAAGACCTATAAAACATAGTATTTAACCACAAAGCTATAGTACTTGAGAAAGTACTATTTTGGCACAAGGAGAGACAAATCGACCAATAAAAAGAGACCCACATATAGTCACTTGGTGCACAGTAGAGGTGACATCAGTGGGAGAAAGGATGGACTTTTTGATAAATGGAGCTGGGCCAGTGGATATCCATTGGGAGACAAAATTAATCCCAACATCAACCTCACATAAAATCAGTGGTATTCATTGCGAGTTAATTCCTCTAAATGTGAAAGGTAAATCTTTGTTAGAAAGAATACAAAAGTCTCTAGGAATAAAGGAAAAAATTGATAATAGGTGACTTTTAAATTAAGAATTTCCACTCATTAAAAGACACCATTAAAAAGAATAAAAAGGAGCCCTGACCACTGTGGCTCGGCTGGGCATCATCCTGCAAAGCAAAAGGTCACCAGTTCGATTCCCTGTGGGGACACATGCCTGGATTGTGGGCCAGGTACCTGACTGGGGCACGTGCAGCAGGCAGCTGACCGATGTCTCTCACATCAACGTTTTTCTCCCTCTCTTTCTCTCTCCTTTCCTCACTCTAAAAATAAGTAAAATCTTAAAAATAAAAGTTATAAACCAAGCCAATGGGCTGCTGAATAAAATGTCTACCTTCCTACCTTACTAATGTGTGTTTGTAAGGAGGACCTGGAAGCCAGGACCTTTGGAATTCTCAGACTCACAGGGTCCATGCCTGAACCTGGTAATACTGCAAGGCATGGCCCCAGCCTCTGCTCAGGGCTCACCCCCGGTTTCTTCCCACCGCTGACTCCATCCCACCCTGTGAGGGGCCATGCATGCCTGCATGGGGACACTGCATCCAGGAAGCTGAAGCTCAATCCACAAGCAGCTCTTCTTTGGCTAGCACCCAGGCCCAGGGGTGTGCACGCCAGCAATGCCATTGACCCTTGGAGAGTGGGCCCAGGGAAGGAGCCTGTGCAGCCCAGGACGTGGGCTGGGCTATTTAGACAGTGAATTCTGGTTCTCAGACACCTAGCATAGTCCAGAAAGGGGCGGCTGTATCCTCGATGTCCAAACGTCTCACCCATCGGGAAGGTCACAGCTAGGGTAGGGCCAGACTGGGAGCCTCTAAAGCCAGGACCTTTCTCACATGGGCCCAAGGGTCACGCTCCTAAGAAACAAGTTTCAGAATCCCCATCTCCCCTCTCCCCTCTCTCCGGTCTTTGTGTCCTATACTTGGACACCAAAATAACCCCAATTTGTCTTTCCCTCATGGTCTCCGATGTCACCACGGTCACTTGATGCTTCCCAGCCCTTCATGCTTTATCCTCTTTACCTCACCAGTCTTTGTGAACATCGTGACCAAATAATCTTTCCGAAACACAGCTGTCATCACGTCTATCCTTACAGCAAAATGGCCACAGTCATTGAAGCAGCATCCTCAGTTTCAAATTTACAGCCTTCCCGTCAAGTCTTCTTCCCACTGAGTTTCCCCTGCCACACTGACCACACTTTCATCCAAAGTCTTAGAAGTGCCCTGGTCAGCATCAAGGTCAAATGAAAGTCTGTGGGATGTAATTTTAAAGGTGAGTGTGCATTACCCCTTCCAAAACTGATGAACTATGTCCCAGATGGATCATAAAGTCCCTAGTAATGAAAACGTTTAATTAGCCAGCTGTTTGTCTCACAATCATGCCGAATGAAATAAGACTTACTACTCTTTCTTCAGCCTGAGGTCTTGGTTGCTCTGTCGCACTTTGGAGGCGGAACTGCCTCACCCTTCGACAGAGCCTTTGGGCCCCTCCCTGAGGAAGAGTGCCCACTCCCACCACCCCGCTCCAGGGAACCGCCAAGGTCAAAGGCCCTGTCAATTCAGTTCTATATTTCAGTCTGTCACATGAGGCCTGTCCGTGATAGGTAAAACTTTCTGAAGGAAGAAAACTTCACAAAAACTTTTTGGAAAAAAAAATGGTTCTGTGAACACTGATGAGATTTTTAAAATATAACCAGAAAGTTAAATAATAAAATGAAAAGCTCTCATGCAAAGGAAAGGTTTAATTCAAAATGCTCCTTCAGCCCTGGCTGGTGCAGCTCAGTGGACTGAGCACAGCCTGTGAACCTAACAGTTGCCGGTTTGATTCCCAATCAGGGCACACGCCTGTGTTGCGGGCCAGGTCCCCAATAGAGGATGTGCAAGAGGCAATCACAAATTGATATTTCTCTCCCTCTCTTTCTCCTTCTCTTCCTCTCATGAAAAAAAAAAAAAAAAAAGAAAGAAAAAATGCTCCTTCTGACCTGACTGGTGTGGCTCAGTGGGTTGGGTGTCATCCTGCAAACCAGGGTCGCCTGTTCAATTCCTCCTGATCGGGGCACATTCCTGGGTCGTGGGCCAGGTCTCTGGTTGGGGGTGTGAGAGAGGCAACTGGTCACACGTCTCTCTCCCCCTTTATCTCCCTCCCTTCCCCTGTCTAAAAATAAGTAAATAAAATCTAAAAAAAAGAGAAAACGCTCCTCGGCCTCTCCGACAGACTGATTCCAGCGGGCTCCTCTGGCGTGCCGTGCTGTGCAGACGTCTGTGGACACGCGTCTTTTTTCCGTGAGCTTGCTCCACGAGCTCCCCTCTGCCGTCTGTGCATCCCAGTGCTGCTCCTCCTTCCACAAAAGGGGGTTTGGGTCTGAGCTGAACACCGGTTTTCCCTCCTGCGTTTCTTTCTCTTGTGAACCTGTCTCCTTTACTACTTAC